ATTACGGAATACTGTTTTCTGTCACATTCAGTCCTTCAAGAATAATTAACGTATTAAATAAGATATCAGAATAAAAAATATTATCTACGTGGAAAAAAAATGAGACGAGCAATACTCATTATATTAAAAAAAATATATATATAACGAAGCTTATCACTTTGCGACAGTATCCACGTTGAGTACGACGTACAAAAGCATTAAAATTAAGGTCACATAAACACACAAAGATAAAAGAGAAAAAAGTTATAGTATAATAAAGCATTTCCTGCTAAAAATTAAACTGTACATTATCTTAAATGTTACATTTCCTTTCAGGACTTTTACGTTCGTTTTTTAACGTTCGTTAGAATATGTTCATAATTATTTTTGTAAATATCAAACTGTAATAATGAGCTCTCTCGTGCTAAACTGTATAAAGAGTAAATATCTTAAGCTTGACGTTTTCGTAAATTTCTATATATTTTTAATCACAACTTTGAAATCTATCCCAACTCAAAAATCAAATTCCGAAATATTAACTTCAATATTTCCGGTAAAGAAAAAACTTCGTCTAACTCAATCAAAGGGCCTAGAGATAAAAGGAAAATGCGAGAAGCTTAATGACGGTCAGTGTAGGCGAGGTTCTTTAAATTTATTCGGCAGAATGCACACGAAGGACTTTCAAAGCAACTGCCGTCGGCCTGCCTTATGCGGATAAAAAGTTCTCCCCAAGAAAGTCTTTTCGTATTTCTTCTAACCACGAAGGCGTACGCGGAGTAAAATTAGCCTCGCACCTTCGATCTATCGGAGATCAATTTCGACCCCGGGACGAGGGCGACCTTCGCTCGACATATTGTAAGCCTCTCTTCCTTCTTCCAACAATCGGCGACTCTGTCCGTCGTCCGTACGTTGTCCACGTGATACGTTTCATAGGCATTGTTACATATCGTTTAGTTTCGGTTGCACGATAAAACATCGTAAATAAGTAAGAACGCTATCGATCGGGAAACACGTGCGGGCCAGGCCGGTATTAGGAGCTCCATGTCCTTACCTCGCGTCCGATCCGTTTCGAATTATGCGTTTCGTAATGGCGTTTTCGTGCTCACCGCACGAAGGAAAAGAGCGAGCGCGACTGCGGCGGCGTAGTAAAAAATCGTTATCTCTATGCGTATCCGCTACGTTACGATTTTTTTTTTTCGATGCGATCACCAACACACAAGCGAGGTTGCGTGTACGAGCGGGTGAGTGCACACACAGGCGAACGCAAAGACGCGCGCGCGATCGGTATCCGATTGGCGATTGGTCCCCTCGACATATCGGCCAGGCGACCTACTGCACGTGCCCCGATTCCCCTCTCAAGGTGAATGACGAGCAATGAATTATCGGACTTCGAGCTCGGGCATTTCTTCGCTCTGTTAGGCGCTTTTGCCGCATTACCTGGGCGCGTGCGCGCGCGACTTCTAATCCGCGACACACTTGTGCCCGTGTTATTATTCATCGACCGCACGAACACAGTCGTATCGTAAGGCGAAATCGGAAAAACCGTGGCGAAAAATCGGAAAATTAACGAACGAGCGACGGTGGCTTTTTTCCCTCGTAGCTTCCTTCCATTAATGTCCATTATTATCGGCCGGCGATCGACGTACTGTTTCATACGTCGATATGAAACTGTTATGTCTAAAGCTATGTTTGCAGATAACGGAACGTGAATTTGATAGTAATAAATAAATAAAAAAGACAGTATTTCATGAAAACCATAAAATCAACAATTGTACTTTTCTTTGCGCGTTTTCAAGATACCTATTTAGAAGTATAATAGAAAAAGTAAAGAAATTTTTTAAAAAAACGTATGCAAATTTTAAGTAATATTTTTTCAAGTTTGTAGCATCTTCTATTATTACTTGACAGGATAATAACAGTTTTTAATGTAGAGTTTTTAAAGCAATTAAAATTGTAAAAATCTATCAAGGAGCACAGATCATGTTGTAATTTTTACTGGAGATAGTATTTAATTGAATCAGGTCATATTCACTTGTTTGTGTACGAGCTAATTGTTCTCGGCAACGTACAGTCAAATCAACGATATTAAGGCTATCGATAAACCAAACCGTTTTGCGCTGCGCGCGGCGCTCACCTGTTCGTTCCTTGGAACGCAGTCGTGTGATGTCTACCAATATAAATCAGACGAATATAAACGTCGAATTTTTGTGTATCAGCCAAAAAAGAAAAAAAAAAGAAAATGTGTCGAGATAAAGTGTCGGACTTGTCAGTCAACGTCAGATAATAAAAATAGAATCTTGATAAAAATTACGTAAAATATTTTTAAATAAAATCCGATCAATCCGATTAATTTGATAGTGCTTACAGAGATATTAAATATATATGCAGTTAACATTTTTATAAGATATTTTATCAGCGAAGATATTTCTCGGGTAATTACTTTAGTTTAAAAATTTATGCTACACTTCTTGACGCGTTTATAGCGTTATATTATATATCGATGTTATTTTATTATTAGATGTAGGATAGCACGCGTCTTCGAATATCGTAGTTGTTTTTTTTCTTTCGCGATTCTCTAGACAATAGGCACCATTATTTGGCTGCATGATTAAGAAGTCGCGGCAAGAAGGAAAGCTGTGTGTACCGTGTATAAATATATAAATGTTGAGACAAGGTACGCGCGGAGATGATAGCTGAACGACAGCATGACGACACCCGCCATTTCTCTCGGATAGTATGCAGATCTATTTTCGAGTGGTGGTTAAAATAGCTGAGCTTAAACTTCTGCTAGACACTGTCGGAGTTACCACGTCGGAAAGGAATTAGGTCAGACTTGAACGACAAAATAAGTATCAGCGGAGTAGTTTCAGATAGCGCTGATAGATAACAAAAAATGAGTGAAATCGATTATTAATGACAACCTCGATAACTCTTATCTACCGTGGAGAAGTTACTTATCCAAAAATAACTTAAGGGTGATGGTCATGTATTTTTAAATAAAAATATTCGGGTCTTTTTTTATTATGATTAATTTTTTTTTAATTTGATGGTTTAGTGAAGCAGGCATTTCCATCTTCTAACACTTGCTCAAGTTGTTACAGAAATATAAAGATATATATCATGAAATATATATATACTTAATAAATGCACAATCCTCAAAGGGAGATAATTTTTAAATAATTTAATAAAGATACTCTTGAACTAATTTTAACTCTCTTTATTCAACTGTCATTTTGCTATTCATAAAATTATTAATACCTCGAATGGAATGTGAAGAGTCACACAAAGGGCACAATAAATAAAAGTGATAATGATAATATAAATGGATTTTATCCAATAAGAATATAATATTAACAGTGTTATTCAGTGATCCCGTATTAAATTTACTTGAATTAAGCTTCACAGTCGCGCGAAGCCAGAATAATATAAACGAGATTATTTATTAATTTGCTAACTGTACCGCAAAAAAAAAGTATATATAATGCTAGCTTTAAGATCAATATCATGTTAAATGTGATATAATTCATTCTATGCCGGAAAATGGAGCGAAGGTGTGGAAAAATATATAATCGAGGAAAACGCTGACCCGTATTTTCGCCGCGCGCCATTCATTCCATTATCTATTCCTTTTCTATTTCTATATATATTCGCGCCGCTATTCAGCGACGGCACATGTGCGGAACGTAACGTACGTGGTACGAAGATTACACCGAAAAGTGAAAGACTCCCTGGAACACATTTTCGATATATATGTATAGGTACGACTTCGACCTGCGAGTTTTCTTAGCGCGAGTTTCCTCGCGTACGTGATCGTACGTATCGTTATCACGCGGGTAGATATGCGAAACGACGAGAGTGCTGCGCGCGTGCGAGAGAGATAACCCGGATTCGACCACGCAAAATTCCCGCGTGGACGGAAAAATGCGCTCCTTCGACGGCGAACCGCGACTCGCCGCGCACGTTTACGACCTAGCTGGGGGTCCGGCGCGACATTATCGCGCTGTTAAAAATGACGGTGTCACGCCGCACGGTCGCACGACTACCGAAACAGTCGTTGTGCCGGCTAAATTTAAATGCACGAAGCCTCTTTCTCTTTCTCTCTCTCTCTCTCTCGTTCTCGAGAGGGAGGAAGCAGTTGCATAACCCGAGGTGACACCGAGCTACGCGTGCGGTGCGGTGCCGTGGTGTACCGAAAGAACGCGAAACTGCGGAAGTCGGGGCCGTAGCGCGCACCTTCCTACGACGGCCTACGGAGACCGCATGATTGCCGGCGCAGTTTTACAAGCGAGTACCCTTGGCTATACTACCTGCTCCAACCGCGATCGATAACGCGATGCCACTCGGCTGTGAAAAAAAAGTCGAGGCAACGAGTCCGTGCCATCGGTGCCCGCGGAGTCCGAGTAAAACAACAAACGCGGTCGCCCCGAGAGTCCCCTCCTTTTACCCGTTGATCTGTGCAACCGATCGACGCGAATGGCGTGCGGAGAAGAGAATCTACCTGGGCAGTGTGATCAGTACGTCGCTAATAACGTGATATTTTTATACGGAAGCGAATTGCTAATTTACTCGATAACGATAACATTAGCGGTGTTGGTTTTAACTTATCCATTAACCGACCAGAGGTGTGATTGATTTTTCACGTGGACAAGGGGGAGAAATCGTTCAGTTAAAAATCCCTCACTGGAAAATCTGGCATTCAATCAGACGGAGCTATTCGTCTTCACAAAAGCACTTCATTCTAACAGCGAATGAAGAGTGAATTCATTCCCTATAGATAAGTAAATCGGAAGCGCTCGACGCCGCAATAACTCCAGCATTCGCTTGCTCGAAACTTGACCATCAATTTTAAAGTTGCAAAAATCAGATATATCCCGCGCAAATTAAATTAAATTTCAACTCGCGCACTAATTTCCCAAAGTTCGCGGAAAAGTGGGTTAGATCAGCATAACTTCCACGCGCGCGCGAGAGCCCAGCTTCCTAAACTTCACGCGGAGGGAGTTTCAAGACTGTGTGAGACTCACCTGCTGGAACGGTGGCAGCTGCAGCAGGTCCCTCTCCTCGGCGGCGGTCACCTCGAAGGTCGGCGCTGGTTGGGGCGGGTATATGTTGCCCTTGCCGGGATACGAGGTGCTCCGACGGAACTTGACCGGGCTGATGCAGGAGGGATGCGCCGCCGCCGGGCCCGGATGACCCGGGAACGTCGGACTCGGCTTGCGACCTTGCAGACCGGCTGCGGCCGCGACCGCTGCGGCGGCGTGTAGGGACGAGTGCAGCGGCGGTAGATTGGGCACGGATCTGCCGCGGTTCCAGGGAGACAGGCCCGGGCTGGCGACCGCGGCGGCAGCGGCCGCTTGCGGGCCCGCGCCCCATTGCTGCGGGGCCTGCGGCCCGCCCGACCACGCGGCGTATCCTTTGCCGGGCAGGTAGACGCTCGGATGCGACGTCGGCGGAGGCTGTTGCTGCTGCTGCTGCTGCTGGTGCTGTTGCTGCTGTTGTTGCTGCTGCTGCTGCTGTTGCTGCTGCTGCTGCTGTTGCGCGGACGACACCTGCAGACCGCCGTGTCTGGTGCCGGTGGGCGCACCCGCGTTACCGTGCTGCTGCTGTTGCTGCTGCGGAAAGTTGTGACTGGCCGTGATGGCACGTCGCGTGCCGGTCGAAACGGCGGCGGCGCCGGTGCTGGTGAAAAGGCCCGCGGGCCCACCGGCTGGAAAATTCTGAAAGGCGGGGATCGAGCCATTGACGGGTAACGCGGTGTGCAGGCCGCCGTCGTCGGGCGCGGACCAGAGGCTGGGCACGCGGCCACCGGGATCGGCGAAGCCTTGCAGAGCCGATGTCGCGCTGCACGTGATGTCCTTGTCCGTCGACGAGGGTGTCGTCGGTGTGATAGCGATGTTCTCTGCCTCGATCACGTCCTTCGACTTGTCCTGTCCGGCCACGGTGTCGAGGGCGCCGCTTGGCGACAGTGGAGCGGGCTTCCCAGTGGCTTGCTTCTCGATCAGCAGATCGTCCTGCATCGTGGATGTCGTTATGGCGCTGACGTTGCTGCTGCCGCTGCTGCTGCTGTTGCTCGTGGTCGTGCTAAGTTTCGGGCTGGTCAGGGTACTCGAGAAGAGGCTCGTCGCGCTATAATCCCCCATAAATCACCGCGAAGCTTTCGAGCGTCTTCGCGACGTTGACGAATGTCGCGATAACCAGCACCTCCAGCTAGGCCCCTTTGGAAACTTCCTCCTTTTCTCTACTCGTCTCCCACGGGCCTCGTTACTCGCGGCTCGAGGGTGTCGTTGTCGTCGAACGCAAGAGGATTCGCGCGCGTCCTCCACGTAGTGTAACTCCAACTCCCGTCCGACACGATCGTGCGAGACAAACTATCGATCCACGGCCGCACGCGTAAAAACACCCACGGAGAGGAACTCCGGAAACCGAAAGACGCGCGGTGATCCTCCTTGTCGCGTGTACTCCTCCTCGTTCTTTCTTTTGCTCCTTGCAATATCTTCCTTTCGCTGTTCTCCCTTTTATTTTTACTCCGTTTCTTGTATAGTTTCTCACCTTCTATTTTCACGCCTCGATCTATTATTATTATTTTTCTTGGGCATGTGTAAAATCTCGTTTCCGTATCTCCCACGTCCTCCGATTGCGCACTCGCTTTCCTCAGGAAACGTTTCTCTAAATCCCACTGACGCCGCGTCGCCCCGGTACGATTCGGCAGCGACCCTGTCTCCGTGGCATCCTCTTGGTTGTCGGGGAGCCAAGCTCATTCGACGACGCGCGTTGTCATTGTCGTCGCGGCGCTCCTAGACGAAGCGCTGCTCGTTGCGAAACGCTGCTTCTAGCCCTGCCTCCCCCGCGTTCGATCGCTCGCTCGCTCGCCCCGAATACCGCTCCCGCTCGCCGTGTGCGCGCCTCGTTCGCGGGCTATCCCCTGGCGAACATAATTTCGATCCACTCGGCGGGGATACACACTGCTGGACCACTTGGAATCCTCCCAAATACGCAGCGCAGCGCGCGCGACCTTTTGCTTGCCACTGTCACACACACGCGACTACGTTACGAGGTCGCTCCGCGGATCGTATCGCGGAGGTGGAGGCGGTGGCGTTGGGAGGACGGGGAGAGAGCGGGAGGGAAGAACGTGTATAGCGTATACGCGATACGTTTCACCACCCCACGGGACGAACGAAGCGAAACGATTCACGTCCTTCGCGTGGCGATCGCCAGCGACTCCGCGACTCCGGCTGTCACACTGAACTCGCAGGCGGTTTCCCCGGGCGACGAGCGAAGGAAGGTGGTCTCGAGAGGACGACGATAGGCGCAGGGACACACTCGCGGAACCGACAGCCGTGTACTACTACTCCCTCGACCTCGGCGACGTGTTGTCGCCGTCGCCGATCGCCGATTGTTCCGCGGCCGCGGCGTATCGTCTGTCGCGCGCGCGCGATCGATCGATCACCGATAAGCTCCGTTTTACGTACGTGAGGTACGCTCACGCGGCGCGGACGGACGTGGAGACGTGGGGCTCGCCGATATGGGTTTATCGCACGCGCGCGCACCACACACGCACCGTGAGCCTCGCGTGGACACTGTGGCGTGGAAACGCGAGCCCGCGCGAGCCCGCGCTCCGTGAAATATACGTAACGCGCGCGGGGGAAGGGGGTCGGGTCAGGGTTACTACCACTGGCACCGCGCTCGCGGACTGCGGACGTGTCTCTCCACCCGGACGATAATCGGAGCGGAACGGAACGGAGCGGATTCGCACACTGCGGTAATCGCGCGCGGCGCGGCGCAGCACGGCGCGGCGCGGCGCGGCAACCCGATGAGGGGCCTCTCTTCCACACCTCCGCCGACGATCCCCGCCTACACGCGGTATCGTGCACCACCTCTGACCGCACACGTACGTCGGTCTCTCCCACCTCCTCTACGACGAGGTACGACGGTCTAGCGCTGCCTCCTCCCGGTCGGTTGGCATATTTTCCCTATTTTCCCTCGGCGGCACTTGTGTCTCACCGTCGTCTAGTCTCTGCGCTTCCTCCGTCGCGCGTACGCCCTCGCGCCTCCGTCGACCGCGCTCGAGCTCGAACGAAACGGATGAGCGACAGAGGAGGGCTGGTGGAGGTGCAAGGAGGAGGAGAAGGAGGAAGAGGAGGAGGAGGAGGCCCGGAAAACTCCAGCCAGCAGAGCGCGTTTTGACGACGCGACTTTCTGGTCTCTCCTCCGCTGCTGCTGCTGCTGCTGCTGCTTCTGCTTCTGCTGCTGCTGCTGCTGCCGCTGCTGTTGCTGCTGCTTCTGCTGCTGCGTCGTCGTCGTCGTGTGTGCCTCTCGCGCGCGCGCGCGCCGCAGCGGTGCGATTCGTGCGTCGTACCGACTTTTGGAGCACTGCGGCCGCGCCGCGGGTCGGGGCATGCCACAGCCCGTTCGGATATAAGTATCGTCGTGCGTGCAGCGCGTGAAGCCGTGCGCACTCGGCGATCTTCGTCCGGCAGCCAGTCGTGCCGTGTACGTCTCTCGCCGTACTCCGACGCTGATCGTCCTCCTCCTCGTGGTCGTCGTCGTCGTCGTACGTCGTCGACGTCGTCGTCGTCGTCGCCGCCGCTTACGCAGGCGCCCTGACGCCGACGTCGCCACCGCCATCGCGGCCGCACCGGAACCACCACCGCGACGCCTGTCTCCCTCCACAATCGCGCGTCCATGCCGCTACCACCCTCTTTGCAACCCTCTATAGTTATATAGGGTGTCTTGAAATCGTGTCCTGAATGTTTCAGCTGCAGACTCTGTGATAAAAAATTGGGAGCATTATAAATTAATATAGGAAATAGATGTGTGGATGGATCTCATGAGGAATTAAATGAGAAACAGATATTTAATAATTGTGATTTTAAAGAACACGATTAATACAAAGGGAAAAGAAGTAGGGCAGATAATTTTTGTTTTAATGTAGTTTCTTCTTATTAGTAAGCGATACATTATTAGCTATACTGAACGAGAATGATTTCAGAAATGTTTGAAATGTTAATTAAAGATGCACAATTTTGTTAAGAGAAATTCGAAATTACGCAGGAAGTTCTGCAGGTATTTAATCAAATTTCTTTTGAAAAGATAAAAAAAAATCAAATTCCCTCTTTTTCCTTTTTACCTTTCAAATATACAAATAATTGGTAAATAAAAACCTTATTTTCTAATCAATTTTTGAATTATGTTTTCTGCAAAAACCGAGTTTAAGATTTATCGAGATGTTCAATTGTAAAAATTAAAGGCAGACGGCAAATAAGAGCAACAATATCTCGCAAAGTTCTTGGCAATGAAAAATCGGATTTCGATACTCCTTTTGGATTCTATGGATAAAAAGATCGTCAGAAGAATCGGACCATTTTTCTTTATAAAGTTTCATACGATCTTTCTATGAAATTCCTTAACCTCATTCTCAAGCTTTTAATCGAGATACCTTTCTTGAATTTTATTCTTGAGTTGAGGTACAATTCCTCCTTTCGCGATAGAGAATTTTCGAAAAAGAGGATATTGTATCACTGTAGAAACAGGAAAGCCTTATGTATGTACTTTCGAGGACTCGAACCTTTCCCAACAACGATCGACGCAAGCGTCGCGAGGCGGGCAGCGACGGCTTGATAAGCGGCGCGGTGGCGGCGCTCGATAAGAGCCGCGCGAGAGAGCCGGTTTCGGTTTACGTATACCGACCGCGGGAGACCGAGAGGACGAGAGGAAAGAAGAGAGAGACGGAAGCGTGATGCAGCCTCCGTACGGCGTACGGGGGATTAGAGGCGGGCGCGTAAATAAAAATATCACGACGGGGGCGATTTATAGCGGTGGATAACGAGGAGATCGCGCGCGCGCACACGCGCGCCTTCTTGCTGAAAGAGAGTAAGAGAGAGAACGCGCGTGCGCGCCCGCGCGCTACGACGGCGAAGTACGCCGAGTACGCGCCGCGCGTCCGTAATTGCACGCGGAATTCTCGCGTGCCATCGCGACGTATATATAGGGGTACCGTCTCGCGGGGAGGAGGCGCGCGGCGCGCGTTGCCTCCGTCGGAGGCTGCACGGCCCGTAAATCTCTCATGATTAGCCGCGGGATGCGAATTACTGCAGGCCGCGGCCGCGACGAGCGTTTAGAGACGCGGCCTACATATATTGTTCACAAACGCGCGTTCCCGCGCTTCGACTTGCGCAACAAGACGGGAATATATATACATATGCTTGTCACCCGCGATGCGGCGCGGCGTTTCCGCCGAGCGGGACGAGGGTAATCTAATCGACTTGACTGATTTCTTTTTTACGTCACCGATAACGGGGACAACGATAAGGTCTCGGGATTAATCTCTTCGCGATTGGCGGCGTTCGTTACTTTCTCCACCCTCCCCCCCTTTTTTTCCCTTTGCACGTATTGCGTTTGACATGATATTTGGATTCCGTAAGAAGCGGATGCGCTAATCGCGTGATTTATCTGACTTAAAAGTGGGACAGAAATGAAACGATGGGAAATTAACGAAATAAATAGAAAAATAAAAAACTAAATATTTAAAGAATTAATTATATGTTTTCTAAGATGCACGCAGGTTTCGATCAAAAATTGAACTTTCGCAATGAAACAAATAAGATAATGAAATCAGGAAATTCGAAGGTATACGGATTTGATTCCGAATTGTTTACGTTTGCATTACCTTGCGCGAGTGAAATTACGGTTATTTCGTACTCCCTCGATCGTTCATTTCCGAAAACCGCGCTTCCAAAAAGCATCGCTTTTGGAGCAAATGCTACTTTCATGATCGTCTAGAAACGGCCGCTAAACGTTGCTAGAAGAAGCGGCGTGCGACGATCCGTTGGATTGCTCAAACTTGTGGGAGCTTTCGGGACGAGAGCGCGATTCCAAGACGGACGCGTGTCGGGATTCGAAACGACGAGCGACTCTGCGAAGATGGCCGCGATTCTGTATGCAGCGCCGACTCACGGCCGGAGTAGGTACTTCTCGAGTGTCTAGATTGTCTAGAACGACGTCGGATCGCTCGAGCCTGGATTCACGTCTTTCGTCGCGCTACGCAAATACGCGCTCGTCCGTCTGCACTCTGCCGTCATTGCGGGCGCTTAATCAGATTTGACGTTTCGGCAGACGGAACTTGGTGCGGAGTGAGAATACCTCGTCGTGCATTCAATTAACGTTAATTTGCAAAATGAACAGGCTCTTCGGACGTGCTAAACCCAAGGAACCGCCGCCAAGCATCACCGATTGCATCGCGGGGGTAAGGAAGACGAGTTTAATTGTTTGTCATCAGGAGATAACAATTACTATTTTTTTTTTTTTAACCACATTACTGCGTCAGTTCTGGTACTGGAAAAGATTCGCGCGATTTTACGCTGAGAACAGCGTGCCGTCGACAGGCTAGGCGTTTCTTAATTTCTCGAAGCGTTAGGGATTCGTTTGGTAAACACACGACGTTCTCTATCAAGGTTGACAGTAGGGCGGACTCTGCAGAAAAGAAGATAGCGAAACTGGACGCGGAGCTGAAGAAGTACAAAGATCAGATGGTCAAGATGAGGGACGGGCCGGCGAAGAACGCGGTGAAGGCCAAGGCTCTGCGCGTGCTGAAGCAGCGGAAGATGTATGAGGCCCAGGTGGACAACCTGCGCCAGCAGGCGTTCAACATGGAGCAAGCGAACTACGCCACGCAGACGTTGAAAGACACCCAGGCGACTGTGGTCGCTATGAAGGATGGCGTCAAGCAAATGCAAAAGGAATTCAAAAATATCAACATTGATCAAATCGAGGTGAGCTGGAAATAAAACTTTCTGTAATGCGAGCTTCAAGATTGTACTCTTCGATTCGAGCTCTTTGTCACATGTCGCCATTACTGTGTGCAGGATATGCAAGATGATTTGGCAGATATGTTGGAACAAGCTGACGAGGTGCAGGAAGCGATGGGTCGCAGCTACGGAATGCCAGAAATTGACGACGACGAACTGGCGGCGGAACTGGAGGCTCTCGGCGACGACCTCGCTTTGGACGAGGACACTACTTTCTTAGACGATGCTATTAAAGCACCCAGTGCACCAGACAAAGAACCCGGAGCAAGTTCTGTCAAGAACAAGGTTATTATTTTAGTTACTTAATACTTAAAAATACTTAATAGTGATGAAAGAGGAGTATAAAAATTGGAAAATTTTTTTTTAAACATCTCGGTTAGTCGAGAATAGGAGGGAGGGCACATATTAGTTTACACTACGTAAAAATTATTTTCTAATCGATAAGACGAAATGTACATATTTTTTTAAATATGTTTACAGGATGGTGTTCCAGTGGACGAGTTTGGCTTGCCACAAATACCTGCTAGCTAAGTTTAAAGAATACATCAAAATTTATAGATAAGGCAAATGTTAAGCTTAAGAATATTCGCATGCATGCCCAAAGACATACGATCCTCTTCAAGAACAAAATAATACAGCTTTTCTAATTGACACCCGCGCAGCACAAATAATGCTCTAACAATTTTTTGTTGACGTAACTTGCGCAGATATTTAATTTACAATTAGTTCCGTATCAATAGATTTTTGTTACTGTCTTCAAAGTCACTATTTTTATTAAATTAGTATTATGTTGTACATATATATTAATAAATTAATAAATATATTGATTATAAATACAAATAAATTTTTTGTTACATATGCAAGTGATGTATGATAACATTTAGTTTTCATCAAATTCTTTTTACAAACTAATTAAATTACTTGCAATCTAGAGATACTCGCCTCTTCCACATTTTGTATCTCTGCATAACATTCACATAAATTGAGAAGATTTTCCTTGCTCTCAATAAAATGCGTTTCTTCAAATCCATGTACTTGCGTATAGTGATGAACATGTGCCTGAAATGCAATTTGCAATTTACAATAAAATACATATTTTTTAATGCTATCTTCAAATGTTGAAAAATAATTTTGGCATGTCTCTATAGTCACAGACTTTAAGAACAACGAAAACAATTGTTTACGATTTTAGGGAATAAAAAAAATGTGCTCGTTGTTAAAAAAATATGAAGTTAGGTTTCATTGCATTATACCTTTTTCTTATACAGTTTAGAAAACTCTCGGATTATATCTTTGAATAATGAAGACATGGCGGATGAATTAAGAAGACACAGTAATGACGATGAATGTCCTGCCGGAGGAACGGAACATAATCCTATTTTCATACAATCCCTACTCCACGAAGTAAACTTTGATTTGTGTTGAAATCTACGAAAATAATATAATTAATATGAAATAGTTATTCAATACTGTTATATACAACATCTATTTAAAAGAGAGCAGAATATGGTTTAAATACCTTTCAATATTTCGTTTTATGTCAGTTAAGGTGGTGTTTCCCCTCGCAATATGTGCTGCAGCAAGAATGACAGAAGTAGATTGAAGTGGATCTAATCTAATTAATTGATTATTTCGCGACCATGCGTTTGTAAATACTTCATCCTGCAATCTTAAAATTAAATTAACATTAAATTAATACTTTGCTGATTTTGAAATTTCGGTTTAATAACGAAATTTAAGAAAATAAATAATTACTTCGCTTCTTGCATAGTGCACATATTTGGGGCAGATAAAGTCACAGGACTGATACTACTGAATATATAATGTAATTTCGGATAAGGCACTAGATTTGTAGCTATTTCATTCATATCCATATTTAAGCTTCCCGGAAACCTGGATCCGCTAAAACAAATGGCTGTTTTCGTAAAATGAATCCAAATCTTGCATCATAAACTCAAAATTTAATTACCTAGTCAAGTGCAAGAGCATATTGACAACGATACTGTTCATATCTTGAAATGGTCTACACGAGGCATTGTAATTTATTTGACCTGCGTTATCTCGTTTATTTATTTGAGCATTACATATGTCTAAGAGAGCTTTGTTCTCTACAGGAAGCACGCACGTCGCATGTTCTACTAGTTCTCGAGTTGCGAGTAACGTGTTGTAAGGGGCAGTTATGGTATCCTGTGTATTTGCTGGATATACACACGATACAATTCTAAAATATTGATAATGCACATAATCTTTTATCTTTACGTCCTCAAGTTATGTACGATCAAATGTTTTAAGATTCAATTAATTTAATCAACATTTGTACATATTAATTAAAAAGGCACCTTTCCACGTGAGGGTAATTATCTCTCAACAGTTTCAAGGTTGCCGTTCCTAATCCAGATCCAGTGCCACCTCCCAAGGAGTGCATCAATAAAAACCCATGAAGTCGGTCGCATTTTTCAACTACGCGTCTTACACTTTCTTCTAAACGATCGTGATACTCGCTACCGTGAACGTGATATCCTATTGCCCTAGAAATCCAAAGTATTACACCGCGAATTTCTACGGTGTTACTTGAAATATTAAGCATGTCTTTTCACAAACTACCAATTGTTTCCAGAGCCTGGGTAATTTGTTACAATACACGTCTGATCGAATAACTGGCGCAGTGGACCCTGCTTAAACCTCGATACAACGCTGTCCTCCATATCTACTAAAACAGCCTTCAGAAAATTGTCATGTTAAAAAAATTATTTGGAAATGCTTGAAAATTTATTATACTGTAGCTTTAAGAAATATTAAATGGAGATGAACGCACCCTAGCTTTAACTTTAGCTACGTTCAAGTCGGCCACATCTTGAAAAGGCAATTTATGTTTTCCATTCGGGACATGAAAAAAACTGGAAAAAGCATTGGAGAGATCGCCGATGTGCCTGACATGGTTTCGTTGCACCTTGAGCAGATTTACACCACCGGTGGTAGTCTGGATGCCGTATTCGTGCAGGGCTAACGGCCAGAAAGCTGATCCTATTTGATTCCCGCATTGGCCAACTGAGATATTGCAAAAAAAAAAGGAAAAATTAAAAAACATTCGTTTTTCAAGTTGCCTCCATAGGCAGAGAATCCTTTAGATTACATCATTTGTTTGTTTACCTTGCACCGTAACAAATTGGCTCATTATAATCCAAAATCTAGGACGTCAACATAATTTGTCAAGAAGTTCTACGATAAAAATTATTTCTCGTCAATTTGTTACGTTTGAGACCTTATGTCTAATTTTTTGTTTACTTCGGTTTACACTCTTATGTCACGATTTCCATGAGTCACAGTAAATATATATTTGAAATGCGGAAGGATGAAGAATTAGGAGGATGACATGAAATAATCAAATACGGAAGGAATAGATGTTCATGTCGCGTATAATAAACATAAACGCATGTTTGGCCAAACGCATGTGTTTGGCTCGGGGTGGAGGGAATCGAAATCTTGCGATCCTCGATTCTCGAGCAAGGTCGATTCGCGCTGCATCCGTTTCTCGCGACAGTTCAACGTTCAAATCTTTCGTGGGCTACCTAACCTGCCTAACCTGCCGGTGTGCCGGCGGCATGCGACGAACGTGACAGTGAATGTGAGCTGGAAGAGACTTTTCGTTGAGAACCGGGAGAATGGATAACGCAGCCGGGCTGGCGAAATGGATTCTCCTGTGCCTCTGTCTGTCCCGATGCGCTCACGCGCGTCGCATTCTCGAGGAGCCAAGTAAGCTCCAGCTAACCTCTCCGTCGGAAGACAAGCCGACAATCCTTGATAATTCTTTTATCGTTAGGAAATTGAGAAAGGCAACAATAGCACACAATGCTCGAGACAATCAGCTGCTTGATAACATGTGTTCAGACGATACTTTATCGTTTAAATGGAACAGAGTGCACGGTTTAACACCAAGGCCATTCGAATTTGTTGTTTAGATATTTTTAATAGTTCTGTAATAGTTGAAATTTAATAATTATATTTTATCATTTATTTGCCCGATCACTGTGACTCCAAAATGTGCAACGTTATTTTTTATGTATATTGCTAAAATATTGTTTCATTGCCAAGTTGTTAACATTCGAATCTTTTCGTTACCTTATCTTACAGTTAATAGAAGGAAAAAGAAATTGTAGTCTCTTTCTAAAATCAGACTAGTTTACGAGTGTACAGATCTTTTATCTACCTTTTTACACTATATCTAGTTATAATATATTCTGATATATATTATTTAATGTTTCAGGAATACACTTTCTGAATGCAGGTGATAGTGTACAAAATAATAATCCTGGTCTAAAAACATACTGTCACAATGCTACCTCAAAGTACTTAACACATATGTGGAGAACCATGACTGTAAGAAGCTTTTATGATATATATATAAAATATTTATGATGTACATATAAAATATTTTCATATGTTTACAATATATAAATTTTTAATGTTACAGATGCATCTGAATATCAACTCAGATTCCTACGTTTTGTACGACGGTCAAACGCCTCATGAAATACATAAAAAGTATGATGAAAATGACAAATCGTGGAGTCTTAATCTATTCGATATAGGAAAACATAGGCAATTTAAAGTTAATCCCTTTGAAAATACGTGTATAGGTATTTACATAGATTCTGCCAGTGAATCTGGTTATATAATGACTTTGATAGAAACACGTAAGCATCTGAATTTGCTTTGAGATATACTCCATTCTATGTGCTAATATATAATCGGTCTTATATCATTCTTTGTCCTCAGGTATCAATGTTTGGGGACTGACAATGATGGTAATGGGTATTATAGTTTTCTGGTGTGCCAAGATATTGAGTCGGAACTCACTATTTTATTATGTGTGTGGCATAACATTTGGAGTCACTTTGTCTGTTATAATTTTAATATATTTAGCTGGAAGATTGATACCACGGGTAGTTATCTTAACAATATATTTAATAACCTTAATAATACTTGACTTTAACATGAATCTTGAAAAAATATTCCTACATATATTTTTGTCGTTAAGGGAAAAGCTATGTACTTAATATTTGCCGCATCGATGAGTCTTTATATTGCTAAAACATTGTTGGAAAACATGCAGTTAATTATAATGCAGTATAGAGAGTGGGTGATGTGGTACGTTCTTGTTACATCTCTGATTAGTTTTGTAATTTGCTACCGTTTCGGTCCAGTTACCAATCCGAGAACGAAACAACTAATACAATGGTTTTTGCAGGTAACGTACCGCGTACCGTATTGTACGGGACTTTTTCTTTCTTAATTTTTTATTTTAATTGGTTTTATGTTCGTATAGGTTGTTGGATTGGCATTAGTTTATAACAGCAGTCACTTCCATGAAGCATCGCTTTCATGTTGCGTTGTACTTATATTTCTTTATAACTTTCCGAAAGCAATGTTCGAGCGAACGAAGAGGTACTGGTAAGCATCGATAGAACGCATAATATATAATTAATTCTTGTTTTATACAGCCAGTTATAATCCATGTGACGCACAGATGACTACAATTGTGTGAAAATTGGTTATTTTTCAGATTTAATTGTTTGAATAAAACCCAAATCCATTATGCACATACTCTTCTTCCGTTTGTGGCTTATGTTGCGCTTCTCTTTTAGTAGCTTTATGCATTTGTAATAATTTTGTTAATATCTAATATTATTTGAATATAGAATAAATTATACGTGTTGCTAATGCTTGAATATATTTAAAAAATCACATCTGTCAGCATAATACACAATTCTATTTTACGCACAATGCACAACTATTTACGTTATATTTGCTTGGTTTTATTTTCCAGTTCTAGAAAATATTTTATATATTTTTATTAAGCTTAGTACATTGAAAAAATTTTTGAATAATTTTTATAATGTATCTTGTATATTGAGCAGTTGTATTTTCAGTTTTTGCAATAAAATGCATTATATTCTATCTTTTAGGTTGCGTTTTATCCTTACACTATTACATTTTATTTAGAGTTAATATAAATCTTATAAGTACATAAGAAATGATTATAAGTACGTTATTAATTTGTTACATATCTAATCTTTATTATTGGGTTTTGAAAATTTTCCAAATATGCAATAACGAATTATGCATTAATTACGAGTGTTCTTATCTGTGCATATAAGGTTTTATTAATATACATATATATTTTTTAATTTACTTTCGAGTACGAAAACATGTAATATGTATTGCTTTTTCTTTTTCTTTTTTTAAATGAGGCAACGCGTGTTTCCGGAAAAGCAGAAATTATTAACTGAAAATCAATATCATCAAGAAGGAATACGGCAAACTAGGAAAGCTTTAAAAGAATTACAAAATCATTGCTCCAGTCCGGAATGCAATCCTTGGAAGACAGTTTTAAGACTGAAAGATCCGATAAGGTTACAGCTTGTTAAATCTATCACAATATGCGATATAGTAAAGCGTCAAAGTTAGCAATATGGATATGAACTTTTAGATTCGCGAAGTTTATGGAAGGAGAATCACATTTGCTGGAAGAAGAAGTCGACGAACACGACGAAGAAGTTTCGAGAATTCTAGACAAAGAGGATTATACGGATGATGACGATTCTTTCTGAGTACAAGTGCTTAAATAAGAATTCTGCAGAAATTTATATTTACTTCTCAATGACAATTTAAGCCTTAATAATATACAGAACTTTTGTTTGCGTGTGAGTTAATAAACATTTTTCACCTAAAGAGACTGTGAAGTAGGTATTAAAAATAATATAATTTTGTTTGTGTCCATATCTTTGCTCAAACATGTTGATATGTGATAGATTCCTCAGAAACGTATGTACAATTACATGTTTATATGAAACAATTTTTTTATGAGGATGACATGTCATATACATTTAACCATGTTTTTCCGATTATACAAAAGAATTAATGCATAAAAATAAATATAATTTTTACAATTCAATTTTATTTTTTCATTCATCATTCGTAATTTTTCTATAATCTGTCGGTAATATTATTCATTGGATATTAACACAATATGAATTGCATAAATATTTATATATATTTAAATTTTTTGAATTATTTGAACAATTCATATTTCGTTTACATTAATTTTGCATAAAGAATTTTTAGCACCTTAATATAGTTAATTCACTTTTTTTATATATTGTTGGTATTATTGATACAAATTACATTGCGACAAAAAATTTTTTTTAGTGACTACTTTAAATTGAGAAGCTGTTTTAAGATAGTCAAGAAGAAGACCAAATACATTTTTATAAATTTTTTGCATTTTTTTAACTTTGCAATTTTTAGCGGGCTTTTAAGAAATGGGAAATTGAATTTTATTTTGGGACATATCCAATGAGTTGTAAGAGTGTATAAAGTGCATTGAATGCCACAATCATAGCAACGATTTGTGGAGGTAAAAAGGGAATATTATCCTTGATCACATTTAGCGTTGTATGCATGCCTGGTAGAAATACATTTCTGCAGAACAGTACAGACGTGTCAAACATTTTATTCACTACTGCATTGCCTGTTGATCCGATTAATTGGAGAACCCGACACACTACTGTTTTGATCGTTTGGAGCGGATTTGTAAAAGCTTGCACGATCAATTGGCAGGATAACTGTACTTGTACTTTGGGGCACACATCTTGTCCTGTCAATGCGCCGGTCATAAACTTCATGACGTCTACAAATGGAGCTATAATACCATTGTTAAACCCAATTAAACGTAATGCGGTTTCTATCGGGAATGTAATCGGTGATAATAAATTGGCTCTTTTGTGCCTCGCGAGAAATATTTCGTAAGGCACATTTGTCTGGGCCACTTTGTAATGTCCATTATCTGAAAAAGTTACACAATAGAATGATAATTATTGTAATATAAACATTAAATTCTGTATATATTTTATTTACATAAAATTATATTATTTATATATTGTTCCAAATAACTATATTCCTTCTTTGAATGTATAAAATCTTACAAATTTAAAGCACGCGTGTATGAGGAATGATTTAACAAAACAATGATTTGAAAATATTATCTAGCCGATGCACTTTGCGTAAGTGAAAAATTTTCATTTATCTCAGCGCGTTATTTAATATTACAATTTAGTGAGGTATTAAAATGTAATTTCATCAAAAATTGAAATATATTTAAACGCTAATGTATTACATTCATATCATTAATACATTAATTATTGAAACTTACCTTGTATTTGTTCAGCCACGTCGAAACTTTCTTCACCGGTTGACCGACAGGCACCGTACACCACAGTGAGACAGAGAATCAGAAGCGGTATTCTCATTTTGAAAATGGTTGGCTTTACTTCAAAAGTATTGAAATCTGTTGTTAATTCCGACTGGCGTTTTTTGTTACGTTTCCTGCCGCGTCGGAGCTTTTTGTAGACACCCACTGTACCGAGGTGTGTCGCGCTCCTTTTTATTGTTATCCTTTGACAGAAATATTTAGTAGAATTAATTAGTCTAATACCATCTTTTGACAACTTGACATTCTAGTCGTCTTAATTGATTCCGTGAGCGATAAAAGTTGCAAATGATGTTTGGAGCGGATGCTACGTTTTTTCAAATAATGTTTCACTTGCTAATTGCGTTTTGCACAATGAATGGAAGACGTATTTTGCGTTTTATTTGAGATATAAAATAACTCTTTCCTTTTATTATTTTACTAAAATTATTCTAAATAATAAATATGTACAATCGCATCCGCAAATTTGCACCGAACTTGCTTACTTGGAAGGCAGCATTTGTAGAACTAATGATACAAACGACTTGTTATACGGACGGCAATGACGCATACTGCATTTACGCATATAAGACACGTTATCAATGCTAATTTCACGTAGAAAAACGCTCTCGATGTCTATGATGACAGTTACGGTTTACCTTCGTTCTGTTATCGCTGTATTTTTGACGTTATGTAATACACACACTTCCGTGTGTTTCATTGTGAAACAAAATGACAAGTGTTGTTTAGTGAAGACGTCTCAAAACTATAGATACATAAATTAAAATGTTAAATATTAATAAAATATTGCTTCCATAGGTGCACAAACGAGCCTTGTTGAAATAAATTGTCAATCGGCTGCGCAATACTTCCAGCAAATGATAATAAGTCTGTTAATTATTGTTGAGCTGCACTTCCTAGTCGAGAAATTAAAATAAGGTACGCATACACCGTGTATTATATTTTTAATAGCCGGAATAATCGATCTTATATACGAGCAAATAATTATATATTATTTAATTTGTTCATAAATAATGCACTCGTAAGTATAGTTAAAACATATCGATTATTACATTAATTAGCGAGGATTAAAGAAAACTTTAGAGACTTTAAGAAGAATTAAAGAAGACTTATTATTATCATCAGAGTGTTTTTGTTCGGTTTATAAAAGAGAAATTTGAGGTATGTATTAATCACTAATCTCTTCTTTTTTTTATTTTTTAATATTAGACGCATTTTTTACATAACTAATTCTTACACTGTAATTCTTATGCTTATACTTATCTCGTAAATACTTATGTAGCAGAGTTACGGATTATATATAATTAATTGATGTATACTTAAATACTTTTTGTGGAATTTTCTATTCAGTAAAATTATTGTAAGAGAGTTTACAATAATAATTTTTATGTCAAGTAAAAATCATTACATTATTTACAATTGAAGTTATCTGATCGTTCACAAGCAAAGTATTAATATATACATATAAGTGAAAAACCGATTTCACTCAAGCGCCCATCAATATCATTCAGTCGGCGTGCAATTGAATTCCCACGGGACGATAGAGTGTATCGTACACGGTAAATGCATCCCGTATATTTTCATTATATTGTTTACATATTGGTTTAATGTGAGCTGGTCGGGTGGCAATAGTGCGAGTATGGTACTCAGAATGGCATGCGTATCATTGTCGTCTGGCTCGAGACTTTTTTTTATGGCTGTAAATGAGAGAAATGTTTTAATAGCTTAGATTTTTACTTTTACAAAAATTACTACATGAACTGGCCTTTAATTCGTAAATGTAGCAAGAATAACATTACTCCAATCAAAAATCTATTATATTACAATCAGTAATTTAAAATTACATGAAAATTTAGGACTTTCAGTAAACTCATGATAACAGAGACTGTATCGTTTTTTTTTTTTGAAATATTGTGGGCCTGAATTCTGATAAACAAATCTTGGAAAAGTGCATAAGCAATGATTCAACTTTAGAAGAAGAAATCACATCTTTTTTCATTCAATATATATTATGCTATTTCAATATTTTGTTGAAAGTGATTTAAAATTTATTTAGTAACGCTTATGCATACATTGTATATATATATGAATATACTTACAATTAGCCTGTGAAATCATTATTAGAGCGAAGAAAGTGAGAACAGCGTAGACAATTTTTTGTAACATGATGCTCCTCTAGCACTCTGAGAAAATGACTGACGTTTAGGACGCAGTACAGTATTCTTATATATATATTATATAATAAGCCCATAAATATATATACTTACATTACATGTATAAGTTAAAGTCCTTGCGGAAAATTAATTGCTACGAAAGAGTCATAGATTTTATTTACAATAAACTTTTAAAGATTGCTGATAGTGGCACTTACTATTCTTGTTCTTGTTATAAAAAAAATTCCTGAAAAATAGCACTAAAATGATTCATGCGTTTTAGTAGTTTGCGCGCATATATAATTGAAAATACACGTGTCACTAAAGTTAATGTTAATATATGAGGCAAAGACAAAAGTATCTATATTGTAATAAGTGTAATAAGTTTCAGTCAGGTGTGCATTGCTAACTATAATATCTTAATTTAATGAAATATATAAAAAATGTATGCCCTTTCTTTTATTTTCTAAGGAAAAACAACGTATAAGAACGTCGTCTGAAATAACTCCTTAAAGTAAGCAAAACGTTATTGGTGATAATTTACATACAAAGAGATATTGTTCTTCGTTATTGCGCACATCGTACGTACATGATATTCTTAAAGAGTACGTTAACTTTAACAATTTTTAGATTTTATTTTTAAAATATCTAATAATTAAAAAAATTTTCAAATTTATAAAATTCAAACATTTTTAATGTACATTTCTAAACTCGTAGTGCACGCCTATGATGTTTAGTAAAATTCTAAAAAGAACATTACATAAACTATAATCCTATAACATTTAATCCAAAAATAATAATGATATTTATATTATATAATATCTTTTTATTGAATATTCTGTGATTGCGTTGAATGTGCATAAATACTATTTTATCTACACCAAGAAAACTTTACTGATGTTTCTCGCTGATTAGATTTCGATCGAATATAATGAATTACCGTTAGTAGTTTGATTGACAGTTTTGTATTAGGACAAATCAATAATGCTGATAATTTTTATCTGCTCATAATCTACATAATTCCTAGTCTCTATTATATGACCATAAGTCAGCATTAATCACAGTTTTTATTCACAGTCCAGTCATAAAAATTATACTGTATTTAATGGGTTATTCTTTAGATTAGATTCTAATGCGTGATTATCGAATCACGAATTTATTAGATTGCAGATATCGCCGATGTTGCACGGAAATTTCCAACAAAGAAGTTGGTCGTTAAATTTGTATATGTCCATCCGCAGAGTTCGCGAATCATTTTGCTCAATGCCAAATAATGCTCCACTTGAAATCACCGACGGTGTATAGAGAATTGTTTGAGCAGTGGCCTCGCTCGGTTTCCATAAACTGATGAGTAAATATGCGCAAAGAGAGCGAATGCATAATTTATTTCGGAGTCGCGGAATCCACGTATGTGCCAGTCGATCGCGTTTACTTTAGGAAAATAGTTTTGCTCTTGGCATTCGAATGATCGTCGCGTGCAAGCGCTGTCGCGCGATTTTTCGCGCCGCATCCGAGTCAGTCGATTCCGAAACCGGAACACATTTTGATTCGCGCAATCGTAAAATTATTACAGACAGTTATTAATATTATACTTTTTATACAATTAGACACGGGAAAAGTTTTTGCTGCGGAGTTGCGATCAAGCATTACGATTGGCGCACGAATGATACTTTATTATTCTAACGCGATCAGGTAACTAGTTATCGTGTGACACGATATGTGCGCCCTTATCTGACATTTTAACTAAATTGTCTTTCTTCTTCGCTGTAGTTAACGTGAAAAAACTCAGTGCGGCTGGAACTGCAAAATGCATCGGATCGTTGTATATCGCACCTGACCTGACCTCGCCGAAATGACTTGTGAAATCGGTTGGATTCCTGCAGTCGACGATCGTCGATTTGTGCTACGCAGAAGAATGTTTTGCAAGCTCGATCTCTGTTCGATCTTAGGTCTGATCGTCGTCGCATGGATGACATTGAATCTCGCGTGGGCCGATCAATTGATCAGGCCGGTTTACGTGTACGAGGGCCTGATCAAAAGTATACGTGATTACTTCAATAACACGTGCATCATACTCCTGCACAACAATCCGAATCCCATCGAGACGCAGGGTGAGAACAATGCGGAAACAGAATGTTGTTAATCGAAATGATTTGCGTGTGTGTGTAATCGATCCTTCGTACCGTACTGAAAGCTTGCGATTTGCAGGACTCACGGAAAGCGACCACTTGCTGGTTCTTCAGAGATACCTGAGCATGAATCATAATATACGCACCACTTTCATGGATTTTCATATGTTCAGTACACGAGTGAGCGTTTAGAGGCTTAGAGAGAAAAGGGATTTGCCCTTTTTCTGCAATCAGTATTATTTTAATTATTAAACATCGAATGTTCCTTTGTCACAAAGCGTTCTATAATAAATAGCAGGATGCATTCTGTGCATCTAATTGTCACGAATGTGGCATTTGTCTCTAGCCAAAGAAGAAGAGGTTTGATTGCTTGCAGGTCGGACAACGCTATTATCACATCAAGAGACCTTTGTTCGTCTTACTTAACGACCATGAAGATACAAGGGATGGTTTTGCGCATGTAATTATCTTTTGTAAATTAAAAAAATACTATTAATGAGACTTAATTCGTTTTTCCGTTATTGCGGTAATATTATTAGATTTGAAAAATTACTAATGCATCTAAAAATTCAAAAAAGTTTTCCGAATTTTCATTGTATAAAATATACAAATCAAATTAATACAATCAAAGTTTTATTTTCATGTAATTTCAAAGTTTTTGGAAAAATTTTCTTTTATGTCGCGAAATATTGCTTTCTCGTTATCGCTTAATTCTTGTGAAGCAAAGCGTGGACAGTTTTCAAGGAACAGATGCCGTGAACGTTTATTTACTAAAATGTAGCAGATCTCAACGTGGATCACAATGGCTTATCCCACCTGGCTGGTATTCTTCAAAAACGAGACCAAATTCGTAGACTTTTTCTTTGAGATTTACGTACCATTTGACTGTAAGTTCATGGTGGCTCAGAGTAGCCCTAACGTAATCGGCAGAGAGATCATCACTGAAGTTTATCAAGTTGACAGAGGAAAACAACTGAGATCGATGCGGTTCGGTATATGGGATGCAAGGAGTGGTCTGAACGGCCCTACTCGTGGCCTATTTTTAAGAAGGAACAATCTTTACGGCCAGAATATACGCGTTACGTCGGTTCACGTAAGGTCGCTTATCCTATTTCTTCGCGTAAAAAGTATTATAATGATAATTATATCAATCGAGCACGTAATTACTATAGTTATATAGTTGAAAAATAAATAACAATATTTAAATTAATAATTATAATTAATGAAATAGTTTATTAGCAATAACTCTTATGATCTTTCTTTCTTCTTTATCACACGATAGCGCTTTGAAAAGTGTTTTTCTTCATTACCTTGCATTCTTTTATCGTCTTTTTTAAAAACAGAAAGAGAGTTCATTATATCTACGATCCTCGAGACAGCTTAATATTCGCTTCGACATAACAATCTTCTATGCGCATAGGATCCTCCTATCAGTCTCTTTCACCGCAATGAACGGAATGAGATAACAGGAATGAGTGGCTTTTTCGGGGAAGTGATACTGCTATTGCAGCAAGCATTGAATTGCACGTAAGTGCACTATTAGTTTACTTAAAAATTGTATTGTATGTGTGAGGAAAATTATTAATATATTATGTAAATTACGCTCTCCATATAGATAAGGATTATTAAACTTAACGAAATTTATATTTAAATTAAATTATATTATATAACAATTTCTAAATCAAAATATATTGTTTATTAGATTCATGATATGAATAATTGTCGTAATATATATTATACTGTATTGTAATCCATCAGTTTCCATGTAATTTTTCATGTCACTTTTTGTTTGGTTTTTTTGACGTAGTTTTATCGGCTTGATCGGATTTCTTTTGCTCTTTATCATTTTCCTTTTTTTCTGCTTTAACTTGCTCTATTTTCTCTCTAAGCTCTTTCAATTGTCTCGCGGTCTCCCTTCGGAAATACTCATCCTCGCTGGCCGCCGCTCTTTCCTCGAAGATCTCTCTCTTTCGCCCAGTACCAGTTCTTCGACGTCTTTCCGAATACGTTCTTGCATTGTATGATGGATAAAACCTAATTAAATCATAAGATTTATAAAAAAATATTAAAAATCTCTTACATTATCGAATATTAAAGATCTCTTTCATTAAAACAAAGCATTTAGTCTACGGATTAAAGAATTGATTTAAGATTAACGAATTTATGCTACAAATAAAATAGAACACATATTATAGTAGATATTATACTATAGTACACATAAATTATTTAATAAATAATAGTTGCATATAATAATAGCTCAAATTAATATTTAACTGATATTTAATAAAATAAATAAAATATAATCGTTTCTTTCTCTTCGTGTTATTTAAACTTATTGCTTAATTCAATATACATAATGATATAATGTCTTAAAAAGGTTACATCGTTGCTCTAATCCTTTTCAAACTGATCCATTTTGTAGCGAGATTGCGCAGCATGACGTTATCATTGCTCCCGCATCCTGTATTTTTCTTCCTTTCCTTTATCCTGAAATTGCTGCAATAGCTATTGCTATTCAGAAAATGTTAACAATAATTTTGACATCATTATCTGATTATTTAATTTTAATTTTGACAGCTTTCTTGCTGTGAAGTTTCTTCAGAAAAAACATACAATTGTCATTTGAAACTAATTGATCACTTCTTTCTTATACAGGCTGCAACAAAACTACTGACCATATAAACCGATTTTATCCCCAAATGTGCTGCAGATTTACCTACAAGGAGGCCAAATCGTGGGGCGTGTGCCTACCAAACGGCTCGTGTACGGGTGCGATCGGAATGTTAATGAACAACGACGTCGACTTTGCGGCGACGGAGTTCATGATGACCTCGGATAGATTAGACGCTATCAGTTTTACAACGCCTATTTATACAACCAAGTAGTATATTTTTTCAAGAAGTTCTAAACGGGACGGGATATCTAATTGCAAAACTAAAAGCTATATTTTATCGACATGTCTGATGTCTAATCTGAAACACTCATCTGTATCTAGCAAGCATCAGAATGTACAAAGCAATTAATTATTAGTTAATTGTTAGTTAATCAATTTGTAATTAAATATAAATTACAAATTATTAATTAATTAAATTGAAAAACAGATTTCCTTTTAAAGCATATTAATGTCGCAAATTTTAATTATTTAATTTTAATTTGCAAATTTTAATTAATTTAGTTATAAATTATTAATTAAAATTTGTGAAATTAATATGTTTTAAGGGAAATCTATTTTAGTTGATTCATACACGTTAGATTTTGCCGAATTTATTAAAAACAAATGTAATCGCGAGTTTATGAGCTGTCTTACGGAATTAAAATTTATGTTATTTACGTTCTCTCTGTTTTAAGATGTCGTGCGTACATTAAAAGGCCCGCGTCATCCGACGTAAAGTGGGATGCTTACACGGCACCGTTCTCCAGGAATATCTGGGGCGCTATCGCTCTTTTCATTGTTCTTACTAGCGGATCGATAGTACTCATTCAAAGACTGTTTGCATTCGCATCCCCGTATCTTCAAAATAATGGCCGTTCGAGATTTACAGAAATTTTGTTTTTTGTCCTAGGGGCGTTTTGCAATCAAGGTAACTTCGATTTCTACACGTACCACTTCCCGAGTTCTTGCACTCTTCTCTTAGTTCACTATAAATTTTTTTAGTATAAATATTTAATGATTGCTATCTGTCTCATGAGAAATGATATCAGGTATGGAACAATCGACGCTGGATCCCGTGAGAATGGTGCACTTCGTAATCCACCTGTCGGCCGTCGTGATCGTAGCCGCGTATTCCGCTGCCCTGATTAGTTTCCTTGCTGTTAAAACGTTCATCATGCCTTTTACGACTATGGATGGCCTTTTGAAGGATAAGACTTACCGTTTCGGCGCGGTCGGTGACTCGGCCGACTTTAGTTTTTTCCAGGTGCTTAAAATAATCCCCTCAGATTATCTTTGCACTAAAATCGATCAAAGAAGAAGCATATTGTATGCTTGAAATAAAATGTTGCACTGATATATTTCATAAATTTATTTATTTTTATTTTATAATTAATTAAATATATGTATTTTCTGATATAAGATTATATAAATTATATACTGATTTGTACGTTCTCGTTTCAATTTTTCTAAAAACGAGCTGGTTTCTACTTCTAACAAAAATGATATATATATAATTATTATATATATATAATATTATTTTATTTTATATATATAATTATTATATATATATAATAAATAAATTATATATATTTAAGAAAAACTTCGTGTACGATGCTACATTAATTTATGATGACTTTATTACGGCAGAACACATCGGATAAAATAATGAGCGTGCTGTTCGATGAGTTAATAACAAAAGAAACTGATTTGCCGAGTAATTACTTGGATGGTCTGGAACGCGTTTGTAAGGAGGACAAGTATGCCTTTATGACACTGGATAACATGGCAGCGTTGTTGCAGCAGAAGGTCGACTGCAAGTTGGAGCCATTGGATGTCATCACGCAGACCACCATAGCGATGGCTCTGCAAGTAAATAGCCCGTACCGCGGTATTATTAACGCAAAGTACGTGAAAGCTTCGTTAACGCGAATTAAAAGATTAATTGCTTTAATGAAGATTTCGGTTCTATTTATCGTAGTATTCTTCTGCTGAGAGATAGCGGCATCCTGCAGCGTTTGATGGATACACAATGGTCGGTCCAGCTAAGCAATGTGAGTGTACATGCGCTTGTAAATTTTGCGAATTATCACCTCCGACAGATCGATACACTTGTCCCTGATCGCAGGCAAAACCGTCGTGGAAATCGGTCGAGATCGGCGACATAGTGCCGCTGCTGCTTTTTGTAGTCGCCGCGTTGTTCATCAGCTGCCTCGTCTGCGCTCTGGAGCGCATCATCTTCGCAAGCATTTCCAACCGAATCAAGCTAAAAGTGGCGAAGAATAAATCGCGGCAACCGAAATAAAACGCGTAATAAGACTCGCAACTCGCCGGCCGCGTTATAGATATACACGGCACGGTCACGTGACACTTTGGCGCGAGACACCTTATTGCCTCCTGATGCTAAAGATATTACGTGTTGTTTAATAAAATTTGAGAATCTCTCATTTGTTTAAAATTAACGTTTTTCATGTCTGCTTTCCATTTTCCCTAATTTAGTATGTAAAGTAAATAGCGGTTACATTATTCTAAGCTTCGAATTCATCGTGTCGTGTTTGTGCTATCTCATACAGATTTGTTTACACCGGTAGGACGAATGAAGGTAGGTCGGTGAAAAACTCATACAATGTGAACTGTAGAATTTGCTGAATTCCTTGACAGTCGCTTGGAGAGTTGCCAACGAGCATGAGCGCGCGTTAAAATCACATTTTGTGTGAGTGCTTTTCACCGAATATCAGTAAATCTTTAGTGTTTTCTTGTCATCAGATTAATAATTAAGATACTAATAATTAAAATACTATAATTATATTAAAAATATGATATTTTAATATACATTTAATACGTGTACTTATTAAAAATTATATATATTGAACATGCATAATATATGATATTATTTGATACATATACGTATAAAGTACATATAGGTATTAGGAATATTATCTAGGTTAATTATTATTAATTATTAATCGATGACGTATTTCTGGACATCAAATCGTGTAGGTGAAAATTTCTCTATCTCCACAAGAAGAATTAATTAGTCGAAATGAATAAGGAGAATGCGTATACAACGGTTGTGAAAAACGGCAAATCTTCCGAATGCAAAAACGCTGGCACAAAGAAGAAAGGATTATTGGTAAACGTAGAAAATCGTCAGTCAACGTCCGCGGCGCAAGGTTCTTCCATCGCTAACATAAAGTTTCAAATTTACTATGATGGCACGAACGGTAGATCACGTCCGCGTGCACGAAAAGACGTGTGTAGAAAAGACATAAGAGCGAGGCAAGATAACAATGCGCTTGAAAAGACAATTATATCGACGACGAAAGCAGCGAAAGATAGCAACAGCAGTCCTGATTTACATGCCAGTTTACGCAGGTGAGGAGAACGCATCATAAAAAATTAGTTTTGTTGCAACTTTCGAATATTAAATTATACACTTTTTTGTAATAATATATATATATCTAAAATAAAGAAATTAATAAGCTAATATAAAAAGAAGTTTGCCTTTTTTTTTATAGAGCACGTTCCTCAAGCAATTGTCGGCAGACATCAACAGCTATCTTGAATAAACCGATCATGACAAACAACTTATTTTGCAATCGAAGGTAATTCCACATACAAGTTAACAAATTTTTTATAAATCTTTTATGTACAGAGATATAATTTGTATATTACTCTCAATTAAAAATTCAGAACTGAAGAAAGATGTTGCAGTTATGAATTGTTCAGATTTTATTTTTTAAATTGTAATAGATTGGAAAGGATTTGTTCACCTCATCCGCTCCTTTGTTAAGTTAAAATATTGTTTTTTTGTAAATGTTCTATGTCCTTCAAACATTTCTTTTAATTTCTTGCAATCCAAATAAATAAAACGCACGCAACTTACTTTTAACGCAACGTTCTTTTTTTTTTTAATTTAGCCCTCGGAGTAGTGATACAAAAATAATGATAATTGAAAAATATGTATATTAGATATAAAACAGTAGAATTTTGCAACATTTTGTTGCTATAATAAGAAATAAAAATTAATGTACAAATTGTATCAATTTTTTACTAACGTCTTACACACACACATACACAAATTTTGTTAATAATTTATACGCTATATTTATCATGGCATTAACAGCTTATGTTTTATCTAGATCTTATTCCGAAAGCACAAGGATTTCTCACTATGCTCAAAATATCGTACAATTACCCGAAATTCGAAAAACAAGACATCTTACAGACGATGTTAAAAAACGAACACTTTCCAGTATTCAAATGTGGAAGGATAAAATGAGGAAGCCATATAGTAAGTACTTTAAGAGAGTATAATAAAAACTCAATATATGTACGCGCGGACTTGAATTAAGAAGAAAGATTTTTCTTATTTGTGAATCTTTTCAGCTGGCGCTGTGACCAAGAATACGGCCAGTCTAAATGTAAATAACAGGGCTCTTTCACAAATTGACATTAATAAAATGCATGTCAAAACTAATTTGAAAAAGAGATATGTTACTGGATCGATGGATTTGCAATCCGAGGTATCACGAAATCGTATGACTAATCTGAATAAAATTGATGAAGTAACACCAAACATCGATTCGGGTCTACTGAAGTATTTATCAAGTGAAATTGCAACGATGTTACAAAATAAGTATTTGCCAGCACAACATAATAATGTACACGATAATAAAAAGAGGTAAATTTTTAAAAATCGGTAGAAATAAAATAAAATAAATCTTTTAATTATTAGTATATTATTAATATTTAATTGTTAATTTAAAATATTATCAAAATTATTTCTACGATAAATTATGGTAAAGCAAGTGGAATACACTTTGCTTTAAATTGCTGCACAAACATTGTTTTAGCTCTACTTCTGAGAATACTCTAAATAATTATCTAAGTACTACGGTCGTCATTAGCTCTAATAGCGCGACACCTTTGGATGGCCCTTCTTCTTTGCCATTGACACCAGCGAAGGTAAAAAAAATAGAGCTTTTATAAACAGATCACAAATTGATATTAATTTGATGTGTGAATTAGATACTTCCAAAGATTTATAATTACACACGCATATTGCTACAGCTTCAGTATCATTAAAGTAATAGAAATAAATTATCTTATATTATATCCACTCGCTATAGTTTTTAAAAATAATTTTTACGTTTGTCGAAATAGGTACGTCACGAAAAACAAGTGACTCAGAAATCATCATCATCAATCAAGGACAATGAGCTTGACATTATTTGCGAGACACCGTACGAACGTGATTACTTGGAGGACGTACCAGATACAGAACGCATGAGGGAGAATAACGCTCCGAAGCTTTCCTCTCGTTTTCTACGTGATAATGTTAATCCAGAACAGAGGAAACTCATCGTAGGATATATTATTCGTCTTGGCGTGAGTATAACGCATAGCTACGAACATATTGATATTGATATAATGATGAAAATTAGAAAGTAATGTAAAAATTTTTGTTTTGGAGTAAATAATGTATACAAAAATTATTTTCATATTTATTTATATAACAAGAAAACGGTCACTAATATAAGATAATTTTTATTGAATGTAATTTAAAAGGCATATTTAATCATATCAATTGATTATATATATATCAATCTCGATCTCGAAGAATGATTATGATCATTTTTATAGGTACACTGCCATTATTCTTCGCACATCATTTATCAGACGGTCAAACTGTTCAATGTAGCTATTGATAAAATTTTAGTGGAGATGAATGATATACAATTAATGGCTCTGGCGTGTCTCTGGATAACTCTCAAGCAAGAAGCACATAGTGTTAAAATACCATCGGTAAGAAAATTTCTCGTCTGAAGGAAACATTGAAAGAGAATGTTATCATAATTTAGATGGTTAAAATATATTGTAATTTAAATATGAAATCGTTAAATATCTAATGGAATAATCTTCTTAGGCGACTACAATACTGCAACTGGCGAAGGATTTATACGTTAATCAGGAGAAGTGCTTGTTAATATATGAGAAAAAGATTCTCTCCACTATTAAATTTAACATACGATTCGCCGATCCATTCTCATTGATGTCATATTACATATTGAATGTAAACCGAGATAGCCAATGCAATCTTATTTTACCGACCGATATCGTGCGCCTTTACTTTTGCGGTAGTTACATGGTTAGTTATGAACAAATAAATACTTTATAATTTAATTTTTAATCCAAACTGTACACAGAGATATAATCTCAGAGAAATAATCTTCTTTTAATAGATCGATTTGTCGATGCTGGATGAAAACTTATGTGATATGCCGGCCTGTGTGATAGCAATGGCTGCGGTAGAGTTGGCACTTCGATTTGTATATTTGAGCGACGTTAACATGGATCAAGCATGGTGTCAAGTTTGGCGAAGTAAACAATCGCTTACAGAGTAAGAGAAAGATTAGTGAATAATGAATGTTCTATTATCTTTGTGTTAAACGATTGTATTTGTTAATAATTTTCTTAAACAACAGACATATTAGTCTTGCTGTGAAGAAAATATAATTTGGCAATTTGATTCTGCAAGAAGAAATTTAAAATTTTGCAAGACATACTAATTCACAGTTTATATTTATTTTTAGATGGGAAGAAAGAATGATGAATACTACGAAGCGGATCATGATACGACATGCTTTGGAATATGAGAAATTTAGTTCAAATATTGTATATAAGAAATACTTACGCAGCAAACATGGTAAAATCTCCCATTTTCTTTACGATAAACTGAAGCAAATCATCATGTAATCAGAGATATCGGACGTTAATGGATATGGATGCTACCGGCAATATGGGAAGAGCATTTGCTCGAAAATACGACATACATGGATGTGATCGAGAGGATCGAAGAGCGCCGGAGAGAGAGTCACTGGATATAAATCGAATGCTGTTCGCATATGTTATATTTCGTTACCAAATACATTTTATATTTAGATCGCGCTGGTCGCGTTTATATTTTATAATTTACAAATAATTTGATGTCTTTTATATTTAAAAAATATTTATTTGAAAAAAGTTTCTATAAAGTCGTTGTAAGAAGGAATATAATAATGTACATGTATGCTCGGAAAAATATATACTTTTATTATTGAAAGTTCAAAGAAGCAAGCGTTTAAGTCCACGCTCGGCGTTGACTCCTTAAAAGATTGGTGGTCGTGAGACTGAAATGCGTGTAATCTCTATCGCGGCAAAATATATGCTATTTGTCAGTGTGTAAACACAAGCGAGTAAACATTATCGACAGTACTTTATTTATCTAACAGTCCTCTCGGGTTATTATTGATATATGACTTAATAGCAATAATTTTTTTAGCAACGGCAACAGAGTGGTAATATCACATATACTATAATGATCAATTAAGGGCTATCAGGTGGAGTTCGATTCTTGATCGTCTCAAGTTTCGATGAATGATATAGTTCTTTTAAATATCTGCCCAAGTGTCCCACTTGTCCCAAGTGCTGTCAATGGACGTCAGTTCCTTCACGTCATCCTAAAGATAATACCAGATAATATTTATTTTGCATGTAAATAAAGAGCTATCTAAATTAATTATATACGATCATCAAATTTAAAGATGTTGCAAGCAATTAAGATACAAAAGTCTTTATCATTTTTTATAACGTATAGCAATAAATGTTATCTTTGAATTTTTAATCTAAAATCTCACATAATTAATTAATTAATTAATATAATTTTATAGTATACTTTTGTTATATGTGTTATATTTAGCATAGTTAGCGCCAATTAATTTAATGTGATAATTCGATTGACCTTAATTATTTTAGTCAAATAGAAAATGATGCTTTTACCTTGAATAATACGTTGGGCTTGTCGCCCCAGGCACCGAAGAGACGTAGCAGATCCGGATTCTTGGAGTACAAGGAACTCGCAGCCAAAATGCCATGTTTCAATTCTTCGAGAGCGTTCGGGCCCTTCGCGGCCGAGCTAACAATTATTCTTGGTGGCTCCAAACCTAAATTACAACGTTCCCATTCGTTGATAGGGGCCTGACCGCCATTCGGGCAGAGCAAGGTGTAATCTTCGCGTTTGCCAGCGTCCTTCTCTTTATCTAGAATACAATCTGTAATGTTGAATAAAGCGATACAATTGTATAAGTAATTTATTTAATAGGGTAAAATTGTTTACCGAGCTGCTGCAAAGCCGTCAATGGTAGGAACGCAACGTCTCCCTTGCCATCCTTCAAACATCTGAAAGAAAACGCACAAACATTAACTTTCTTTGAAGATAATAAAAATCTGCAAAGGTACATATTATTTTTATTATCAAATCGGCAAGACTACGTAATTTTATTTTTTAAGTAAAAATGAGGAATTCCCATCTTATTTATTCGAGTTAACTAAAACAAATTCATGCACAAAAATGATAAAGGGATTACAATGTTACCTGAGTGCTCCTTTTCCGCCGTTGTAATATTCGGCGTTCGTAGGTCTGCATCTCGTCGCTTCTTTCGCCTGATCGTCGTCGATCTTGATATTGCCGACACACAGTTGACAGGATTTCGAGGTGAGAGGTGCGCCAGGTGCGCAAGACTTGGAGAAGAAGGTATCTATCTCGTTAAGCTCGTTAATAAGTCCGTTGTGCTTGAGTGCGCGAGCCGGTGCGTGGTAACCAGCGAAGTCGCCTATGTAACCGCTGTGACAAGACGGCTTGTCTTTGAGGTCGCCTGTGAATCAGAATATTGGCAATTATGCATAATAGAAATTTGTATAAACTCTTTTAAATTAATATAAAGCTACTAAGTTCTGCAAACTTTCTTTAATCATTCGAAATCAATCACGTACATTTCTTCTCAAAATTTTGTCTCAATATCGCTTCATTATACATTCATTATTTTTGTTAACGTAAAATCAGTTACAATTTTTAGTTGGTCTCATATATTTCATCCGACATAATTTTATGGAGTTTATAGACTGCAGATCTTTTCTTTTTTATTCATTTTTCTGTCGTACCCAATCCATTTATGGAGGAGCCGCTCTTGATAACAGCGATTGCTGGTCGCTCATTGAATTTCGTTGATCCCTCACCGTAAGTTTCGGCAACGATCGGTTTCACATTGTAATCGTTGATCGCGCGTTTTACCGAACTGCCGTCGATCACTGTGATGTCCGCTCCGTTATCTCTGACAGCCTTCAAGCAGGCAGCCTCGTCTTTCTCCAGTATGCAATCAAATCTGGGTCTGGCGTCTCTATATAGATTATACATAATGTATATTAAAAAGAGTATAATAAGAGCGCTTTTGCATCTTCATAATCTAAACAATTTGATATCTATCAAGGGGATTTTTTATTCATTTACGTTCTCAATACTTAACTAAATTTATTCGACTTCAGATAACAGGACACCAAGTAAATCGATATCGATAATCGAGATTTACGAGTCTCGTACGTGACTATACCTGGAGAACGCGGCTCTAGCGAGGCTGCGACACTTGTTCAGCGCATTCTCGTCCCAAACGCACCAGCGAGCGTCCCTCTCCGGCGCTCCGGAATTCCTCTCGATCACATCCATGTATTTCGCGCTCAGCAAGTGCTCTTCAGGCGATACTGGCGATGCGGCGACAGCCAGAGTCTTGTCATCGAGTAGCAAGATATCTTTCCACCAATCTGCCTTTTCGTTTTCGCCAATCTGACCTAGCTGTGTCAATTCCTGAAAAATGTTTCGACGTTTGAATTACTTCTTGAACAATTCGTCCGTCATACTTATTACGATGATTAGACTTTTAGTCTTCGTAGTAATATCTAATGATATTAATTCTTACTAATTTCTTTAAAAAATTAATTAATTTCTGTAAGAAAACTAATTATTGTCTTATGAAAATCAAAACTAACAATAATATTTTTATCGCAAATTATATTGTATCTTCTAAAATTTCTGTTAATGCATGACGTAGTATAGGAATGCCTTTGTTCAGACCTCATCCTTATTCCGTGCAACATTCAATTAGTCATTAAAAACATGTATAAATAGATTCTTAGGAAACAGATCACGCACTCTTTGAATAGCTTCCGCGTTGTTGGTGTCAGCTCCGTTGGTCATGTATCCCTGCCACGGTCGGGCGGCCCACGTGCACGGTTTCGTATTCGCGTCGATAGGCACTTTGCTACCGTCCGGGCAGAAGTATCGGAAGTCAGCCGGGTTTTCGGATGTCGGCACTGGCTGAGTAACTCCGACGGGCAGACCGAAGAAACGCTTCACGTAGATGACTTTCGTCCAGGCGACCTCGCCGCCGTTGTGCGCCAGACATCGTAGAGCTCCTTCGTATCCGGAGTATATGTCCGGATAATCACATACGTCTGGTTTCTCGCAAAGTGCACACATGTTGCTGTATGTCTCCTCTGAAAGAAACGAGAGCAAAGTCGTAAAGTATTTATAAAGTATCTTATATATACGTAAAAAATTAATTGACTATATGTTTCTCGATTAGCGTCTAAATAATCTTTTTTTAAGTAGAATTCATTTATAATATAATTTACACACAAATTCTAAATGTGTGCATTAAATGAAATTTTGCACTACTACACGGAAAGAACAATTTTGCTGAATCCAGATTTGAAAATAATTTTTGTTCAATAATCAAAATAATTTTGTGCGAAAGTCACAATGATTGCTAAAATATCAAAACGTTTTATAGCAAGCTGCTTATCAGTTTTAACATTCCAACAAATTATTTTGATAATTCAACAAAGAATTATTTTTAGATCCGTTTTCAGCAAAATTTTTAAACTTTTCAATAAAATCGTTCTTTCCGTGTACGCATGTTGTCCAATGCCCAATTATTTCGCCATTTGTGGAACAGAAAAGTCAACTGCAACCAGAAGAAATGTAAATTACGCAACGCTAATTTTACTTTCTATTTAACGTAACTCCTTCAGTCGCAATTTGTTGAGCCACGATCACCTTAACTCGCACAATTGTAATTTGACGTGTACAATAAACACGTGGAAAATTAGTACGTGTCTCGAAAGAAGCGAGTCGATCTGAGCGCGCGTTATTTCGCAGTTGATGATATTGTTTGCCGGCGATTCATCTACACGACACAATCGCCGCAAATTTCGAAGATTACCGCCACTTACTGAGCCTCTGATTGATGGTAGGATCGGGTGACCATTTGCCCACCAAGCAGCCTTTGTCGAAGAGCGTGCTTAGCGCGCGAAGCTCATTCTCGCGAGCGGAATATTCCGGGTTGTTGATGTCGGTCAGCACGCCCATCGCGGTCAACTTCGTGATGGGAATTTTGTAGCCGACATTACGGCCCACGCCAGTGTGGCAGGACTTGAGACCCTTCAAGCCCTGAACGTTGTTAATGTTCAGGTCCTTGTGTATCACGGCTACCGCCTCGTAACGATATATCGCGTCAGGTTCCTCCTTCGTCCTCACCTGATAGACAAATAAAAAATAATGCATTGTACGTTATTCAACAATTTATTATAATAAATTGGATTTATTATGATAAATTCTATTTTGAATCAAACATCCTATTTTTCAAGAGATCATAAAATATCCACGAGAGCTTAAGTCTCAGCAAATAATTAGAAATAGATTTCTTTTCAGATAATCCAATAATTTTTCAAAAATGTATTGTTACAATATAAATTACTGTTCACGTGATATATCATATCTAATTTTTTACTATATAATTTTTTTTTATTTTAAATAATTTAAAAAAATACATTACTTGAATGTATTAAATGTCGAATTATTGTTGAATATATTACCTGCTCGATGACGTTGTATCCGGCTTTTTCAGCCAATTTATTCTTCGCCGCGAGGTACATATCTTCCGGATCTACAGCAACGATATCTGCTTCCTTCCTGCCCACCCTTTCAATGCAGTCATATCGATCGCGTCCAGAAATGCACGATATCGGAAAACCTTTGCTCTCCGAATCTTTCATCATTTCCGCGCATTCTTTCGAGTATTTCTCTGGGATGCACATTGTGACTAAATAAAACACGAGAAATCAGATTAATAATTCTAATATATCATTATATTTTACTTTATTAGAGATACAGTTTTGGATGCATCTATCCTTGGAATTTCAATATTAAACATTTAAATTTCATGATTATGAGAGTTAAAAAATCGTTAAATCACTGTTAGTTACCCTATATGAAATAATTTTACTTGGTACGATTAAACGTCAAAATACAGAATGTCCGAAGATCACGCTTAATCTTTACAAATGTAATCGAAGAAATGAACAGTTTTAAAATTCTCACTTTGAGCCAGATAACTGACTGCGATATCTCGGACGAATATTTTTGCGAATCAGTCGCTAATTTGCATGGCGTACTTACACACTCGTGCGTAACTTTTGGCGGACACAGCCGCCACCGCGAAAATCGCGAGTACCGCGAATCTGTGCAGCATCTTGATTAATGGAGCACCTCGCGGATTACGGTAATGCGCGATTCTCCCCCAAAGGATCAGCGCGAAAACGGGAAGACGAGGCAGAGTCCAGGTGAGGCCGCAGACAGATGGTCGGCGACGACTTGTCAAGACCGTCCGAAGCGGCGGTCTACGTACGTCCTTATATAGATAGCGTCTTTTTCTTCCTCGTATTTCAGCTCGCAAGAGAAGTAGGGGGAAGGAGTTTCGCTCTTTCTCCTCCTCTCTTCTCCTCTCTCGCTACGCGATCCCCGCCGTCGCTCTTTCTCTGTTCGTTTCGCGTAATGACGCCATCGACGTTCATTATCTATTCGATTCCTCGCCTCTCCCGCGACGATGGCACTTTCCAGCCTTGTCGCGCGTCGCCCCCCAGGGGAAAGACTGGTTTTTCGTGTCCCAGCTTCTCGTGTTGTGAAAATTATTATCGAGCGCGAATGTGTAAATAGAAGTGATTTTCTTACAAGATTTCGAAAGCGATATAATTTCAAACTTGAATTATGTATCTTTATCCAATATATGTACTTATATAATACATATATTTATTCAAAAATTATCTTTATAATCATGGCGACGCTACAATAAAAATATATCGTTTGATGTAGAGTTTTTCTTATCTGGAGCATATAAAATTATGTAAATTATTTATTTTTTAATCCCAGTTTTTTAAATTTTAATTTAATTTTAGTAATATATTGCATGATTTATAATTTTGTTTACATGTAGCCGGCAAATTGAAATAAGTTTTATATTTGTAAATTGTAACAAAAATATATTGAGACATATATTAATAATTTCTGTAATCATAAATAATTAACAAAGATAACAGGATCTCAACTTGAAATATAATTATAATTAACAAATTTAATATTTGAATATCAGATTTATTAAGAGAAAGATGTTACAGTATTTAATAAACTTGTAATAAAGGAAAAATTATTCCGGTTCTCGATGAGAAATATCACCCTGTTCATAAAAAATACTACGGGAGTTAGATATCGTTGAATCCTCGGTCGAGGCTTGGCTCGGCCGCGGTAGTTAACGTTCTCGGTAACTTTCCAGGATGGGTTCCTCGTCCACCGTCGGGATGGAAAACCTTGAAGCGATTTTTCTCCATTGGTCCGGTCCTCGTTTGCCTCCTCGTTTCAAGTTTAATCCATGTCCTCGGCTTTGTTTGGCGAATTCGCGTCCTTCGTTTTTCGAAGATGCGACGCACACGCACACGTTATCATGTTAATATACATCGCGAAGTTAAAACCGCGCGGATCTTCGTTGACACGAGGAAAGTACCGAACGGTAATTCCCCCGGTGTCACACGACGACGATCGTTCTACGATTTCTCTCCTTCTCTCTATCTGTTTCTTTTTACCTATCAATAGATCACAAGTTGAATAAATAATTCATGTAACGCTCGCGCTTATGTTTTGTCGTTACAAAACCGATAAGTATGTAATCTCTGAACCGCGAGATATAAATTGCTGCATGTGTTTGTAAAGAATAATTTATTTAAAAAATAAGTTTATCAGCACGAAAGTGTTACTTGGTTGTCTGCCAGGCAATATAAAATTGCATTATGTAATCAAATAAATTTCATTAAAATAACAATTAATAATAATACAGAGATAATCCCCCAAGATTATTAAGATATCGAGAAGTCTTAATTAAATTAAATATGGACCAGATTATTTTTTTTTTTAAATTAGTCTTTGAAATTTAAGAATTGTGTAAATGTTTAATAATTTTAGAGATTGATAATTATATTCTTAAATTTTTTAAATGTTAAAATTCTACTTTTTTGAGCATACAATTTATTGCAACGTCTACATGCTACATTTACGTAGCGCGTAATTTTTGTATCTATACCCGGCACAGCAATCTTTTCAGTAAAAATATTGTTTTTATAACAAAAAGATGATGATTTAGAATAATTGCAAAATAATGATAGTATGCTTATTTGTCGATTAGTTTTTTAAAAGAATCGGATAGGTGTAGGGATGAATTTTTTATGTCTCTTGTTGATAGATTCTTATCGATGGGTCATTATACAACTAGCGGAAGCACGAACGTTGACGTTGAGACATAAACGCGTGTCTGATTGATGAACCGCATGTAATACCGCATGATTCACTACCTGCAGATCTTAGCACGTGCCGAAGCATCGAAACATTCTTCGTGGCGGACGATGAACTGTTGGAGGAAAAAGCATTTCGGATCGTCGTAAATAGCGGACGATAATTCACGACTCTCTCACCCTGACAAGCGGAAATCCCAGTATTACAATATCGTTATCATTTGGTCGTGTCAAACCATAATAACATCTGTTGTGACTTATCTCGCGGTAGCTCTCGTAATCGCTAAACAAAATATTCTGGAAAGAGGAAAGAGTTTGGTTTACACTTTACTTTGATATTGCATGATGTAATTGCTGCTGCAGCACAGACGTCTTTCTACAAAAATAACAGTAATGCCGCGATATGAATAAGTACGATAAAATAAAAATATTGGATATTGTTTTCTACACAATGCAAACTGCATAAAAAAATGATACTATAGAAAATATAAAATATACATAATTCTGTATTTTACATATATAGCTAAAAGTTTTATTAAAAATTTTAATTTTTATTTCGAAAAGTTTTAGATACATCAATATCTTAATATTAAAAAATTATGTAATATTATGTCATTTTTAATAATTTTAAATTAAGGGCAATTAGTATTTCTCTGCGGCTTTGAAACAGAATGAATAATTATTTTTTTAAATATAATATGTATCTTCTTTTATTTTTGAATTACTAAGAAATGTTCAACCACAGAATGTCACTTTCCTTATTCGTTTCTTGGAATCAATGGTTTTCCTTTATTGCACACATATGATTTTTCGCGAGACCGAGATCGAAATAATAATTATCGGCGATACAATAAAAAACGTAATTTGAATCGCCATTATCATACTTATCTCGCGGTAGCTCTCCATCTTCACAGCATCTCACCTTTAACATTATCCGCTCTTTTTGACAACAACTCTTCTCTTCTTTTTTCTTACTATAGTTAGCTCAAAAAGTTGTCGTTATGACAGAAAAAACAAAAGCGATACACTTTTATTTTATCTCGGAAGTATTAATAATACATATTACACATGAATCTACATAAATCTGCAATTCGGTGAGTCAACTAATTAAGGATGCATCCGAGACACTCGGTTTATCCTCGGTTTTACAAACTTCCTCTACGAATACGTAAACAGAAAAATTTTATTATTCAGTAGAAAAAAAGGCAGTTTCCATAAATTAATGTTGAGAAAATTAAGCCGGCGTTAAGCCGCAGAGCGTCGCACATTCGTGTGCGAGATCTTTTTCCTCGACACATGAGTTCTATGCGGTTTTAAACTGCAAGGTCGGATACGTTCGCAATTTCAAGACCTCGAGGTGAGCGTGCAAGATTAGCAGCTGCTCGTAATTGTTCTCTGCTTTCAAAACGAGCCTGGTGCGCCTCGCGATCGCCGTGAGTCTCATCCTTCGAGACTCCTCGTCCCTCTTGCGATGCGGATCGTCAAGCAATCTGCGACGCTCCTCGACGTTTGATGACTTCGCCCTGATATCCTGCAATGCCTTCTCGTTCTTCTTCTTCCACTTGGCCATCAGCCGCTTCGTTTCATTTAGGCGAGCCTGTTCCAATTCCAGTAATTCCCGAAATCTCTGAAAAGAGAGACTTTAAGTTTTTCGAATCACCCGCGAACAGTTCGAGTAATAATAAATCGATACTCACGTTTCGAAATATTCGCAAATTGGACTGCATCTTTTCGTAATCTCTTTCCAAATTTACGCTGCAGGGGTAATCGCTCAAAAATTCAAGCACGTTTCTCGTAATCTAAAATTACAAGAGGAACAAGTAATAACTCTTTAAATACTTGTGTTGTGATGTAGAAAAATATTGCCATAATAAAATAACAATACTCTATTAGGATAACAATATTTTATAAGGAGGAGAAAATCTCTTTGCAAATCTTTATACCTTGAACTCTTGGATATCCCTCAAATCCCGCTGCAGATCCTCCAATATCATTTTCGCGCAAGCGTGCTGCCATTCGTGTTGCGACACGACTTTTCGCAAGTACATGGATTTATGCATCGCCGTCAGCTTGCGTTTTCCGGTCGCGACAATACAGTCGTTGACCCGTAAGAGCTCCTCGCGCATCACGAGAACGGCGTTCACGTAGTCGGAGGGACAACCTCGCAGCGGCACCTCGATCTGGCCCATTTTCAAGACGAGTTGTACCTCCATTTCCTGTGCGAGTTGAATCAAGGATTTCTCCATGTCATCCAGTCTGACCTTCTTGCACGCCGCGGCGTTATCAGCCGACTGCATCGCCCTCTGATAAAACGACAACGTCTGTTCCGCCTCGGCCATCTCCACCGCGCAGCATCTCACCTTTGACATTATCCGCTCTTTTTGGCAACAACTTCTCTCCTTTTTTTTTTGCTACAGTTAGCTCAAAAAGTCGTCGTTATGAAAGACAAAACGAAAGTGAGACACTTCTATATTTTATCTCGGAAGTATTAATAAACGAAATTAACATTTCTCATTTTTTTTATATTTTTGGATAACAGATAAAACTTTGTAATTATTACTTAAACACTTTATTAATGTAAGTATATTATTGCTATGGAACCGTCATATACATATACATATATTTTGATAAATAAGCCACCTCTCGCGTCTTCCTCACCTTTATCTCCACCTCGATTTTCATCCTCCTCAACCTGCACATCATTCGCCAATAATCGACGTTAATTTGCGATGGTAGATTTCGGGGCATCGAGTCCAGAGCATCCATGCCTTTGAGGAAATCCAGGCATTCGCGCGGCAAGATATCCGTTTTCTCGCTGCCCGCGACGCATCTCGCCACCTCCGTCAGATACGTGACGGACGTGGTGATCAGCCGACCGGCCCTGGGCCGCTTCTTGTAGTGCCTGAGCAAGTGTTCCACTATCGGCTGCTTCACCTCCGCGAATTCGCCGCGGAACTTGACCTCCTGGCGTTTCTCCGTCTTGCAGAGGCTGTCGTATCGAATTTTCAGCTCCGACACGACCGTCTCCAGCGAGTTGCATTCCTCGGCGAGCCTGCGTGCCTCACGCGTCGCCGGTGCAAACTCCTCGTCGGCGAGACGAGCGATTTTTTGCCTGCCGTTGACCGTGGTCCGGTATCGGCGGATCGCGCGTATCCTCGTCAGTCTCTCCTGAAGGATCGCGCATTCAATTTGCATCTTCTTCAACTCCAGATCCTTTAACTTGTCGTTGAACGCGGCGATGTCTCTTTGCAAGGCGTCTGAAACGCACATTTTTTTACGTATCTCCAATGAGAACGTCAGCGGTCCGCAGATTATTTTAAGATTATTCTATTTTAATGAACGCGATTGTCTGTATTTATATTTTTTAAACGTCTGGCCTGATACCTTTCGTTTCTGTAATATCAGCCTGCAGTGTCGCTTTATATTTTTCTCGTTCTCTTTGCAGCGCCTGCACTTTGGACTTATACGACGCGATAGCTGCGATATCCTCGTCGGTGTGTTTCGAAGGATCCTTCGCAATTAGACAGTCCGGCACCGGTATTTCCTTCTTCACCTCGTCTTCCCATCTTAAGACAGAATATTCTTTTATTTTTCAACATTAAGTATCAGGTTTTAGGAAATATAACAAATTCGTGTCGATTCTTGCACAACAATACAAGTGCATTCGTATCAATTATTTCTCAAATTTTGATCGACTTACTTAAGTTCTAATACGCCGTCCATCATTTTTTCAAGAGCTAGTTTATAAAAGTCACTGATTCTTTCATTTTTATCTTCATCTTCTCGATCCTCGTTAATTATTTTCAATCCTCCTCGTCGCGACTGTTTCTCAAGTACTTCGTGATCTTTTACGATAACTATGTAGTCAGGTATTTCTTCGACATTCCAGGACGGAGTCTCGATTGGCTCCAGATCGGATTCTATCCCGAATATCGTGTTCAATTGAGATGCGCAATATTGTAGCCTGCCGATGCGTTCTTTTGCATGTTTTAGTACACATTCCTTTGCATGTTTCATTTCCTCGAAGAGATCGTTAAAATGCATCTATTTGAAAAAAAAGTTTAATTAAAATATTTTTAAATAATTGACTACTAAAAAAACAATTTTGATATTATATAAGTTTCTAAAGTAATAATTGAGTATAATTATGTCTAAATAAATTTTAATATTGTGTGGTGTAATTATACAGTTAAATAAATTTATAGCAGCTTTTACTTTTAATTTACGCTCTCGTTTTTCAATGATAACATCCTTCCGCAAGATAGCCTCGAGCTCGCTGTCACACGAAATCAATAGCTGATGCGTTGAATCTATGCTTTCATCCTCAATCCACTTATGCGTCGTGATACCCGATATATACAATTTTTCATCTTCATCCGCGAGTGTGTACCATCTTTTAGCTGTTTGATACGTTTTACTTTCGGCGTTGGTCATTGAGAATTCTTTATCGGAAGATATTGTAGACCCTCGTCTTGAGCCATCTTCTGTATCTAGTGCGTCATACACCTCGTAACTAGAAAGATTGTTATTTTTAATAATCTGATTAGATAGTAATAAACTTAAAATATATTTACTGTTACAAATTTCTAAATATATTTTACATTATTGTAAAATTACTATATAATTCCAATTATTATAATGAGAAAGTAGAAAAGTTATTTAAGAGTGTCAATTATTGAATTACGATGAATAATTAATTAGAAAAGATAATGAAAAAATAATTACCTGTACAAAAACTCGTCAGCGTCCGAAGAAAGTCTATCCCACACTTTAAGACTTTCATTCATCTTACGAGTCGACGCGACGAGAGGATAATTTCGAACGATCGTATCGCCACCAATTGATCTGAGAGCACATGGTTTAACTCGCAGCGGTTCCCAGAATATTTCACGCAGATTCGACGCCACCTGATCTCGTTGAGCGCAATCCTCTTCGAGGTTCCGATGCATTTTGTCTCGTTCAAGTCGAGCCTCTTCTATTCTTCGCTGACGGAATTCGTGATCCAAATCGAAAACCGAGATTGGCAAACGGGCGTCCGATGATTTGCCTTCATTTGTGTCGAGAAGCTCGCGTATCTATTATAAAACTTATATTTTAATCCTAAATCAGAATCGAATTTTTAAAAAGACAATTACTTGCGCTTTAATTTTCTCAAAATCTGCTACGATAGAAGCCCGTCGAGGAAGAGCTTTATCACGTTCGGTTTTCAATTTAGCGGCAATTACACTATCCAGCCAGGTTTCATTTTCCCTATCGTATAGTTCGCTCGGATCGGAAGAGAAATTCTCGATTGTTAAATGCACACTCATAGCTTCGGTTTCTGCCAAATTTGTTTTTGTCTCTCGTAAGCTGTTTATAATTAAATAAGTTTATATTTATTTTTGTAAGTGATTTAGTAAATTGAGGGTTGAATAATACATAAAGAACAGATAAAAATAAAATACCGAATTCGATTGGCAACGAGATCGCCATTTCTACCGAGAGAAACGATCGTTTCCCCGAAACGCGAAGAAATCGCACGTTTTACGCCTCCTTGGCTGCGATGGTGTGGCATAAAAATCGCTATCACTTTGCGAAGTTCCGTGCTATCTCTGACTACGATCAGGCCATCGTATCCATATGTTACGACTCGAGAATCGGTTACATATATTCCAATGTTTCTCAGCTGATGCATAGAGAGTAATGCGTCTGTAAGGACGATATTTTCAAAGTCATTCTACAAAAGAAGTTAAACAAATTATTTTTTTCCAGAATTTAAATAAAAAGAGTATAAAAATTAAAATAAAGATCATGATTTTTGAGAACTATGCATACTGTGTGAAAGATATAATTTTATTATCTCGATAATTATAGGCAAATTTAAATTAGGCAATACAAGAATGTTGGCTTAATTACCTTTCACGTGATTGATTCTGTATAAAAATATAGTTTGACTCACCTGTACTTCCATTTGATGTAACTGTTTAGACAAAGAGGGTATACCCAATATGTCCAGAGGCTTACATCCGCGATAGAGCGCCTTGAAAGGTCTTGATAAGTCTATCACGCAAACGGCACGCGTGCATAATTCGCTCGAGATCTTACAAGTGTATACAATTATTTTATTGCCGCCGATCGAAGCTATAGAAGAATCAGTCGTCGCTAAGACCAAGATTTCAAAACGATCATCGCTTCCTTCGTATATCAAAAAATCAGCGATCTAAACGAAAAGCAAAAGAAAGCATCAAAATATTTTCAGTCTATAATCTTACATATATTCAGTCTATAATTTATCATATAATAAATGATGTTTTAAAGAATAATATTATAATACAATTTCATACGATCTCTTACATATCCACCAATTTCTATAAATCCTAGAATATCCACATGTTGTTGTTTAAATCGTTTACCAATAATAAATATCATGCCAGTTTGAGAATTGCCAATTCCCAAAAGTTCGCCATGACGTGAAAATTTTATTTTATCTAAAAAGATACCACAGAGATGGAAGCAATTAAAAATTTTAGGCAATGAAACTCTCGTGATATCGATTAAAATGCAATTGCCAGTAATGCTGCACAACGCAAGTATTGGTAAAGTAGGATGTGAATCTACGTGAAGAACTGTAATGAAAATGGCTCTAATTAATGACATGTATTTCGGTCACTCGTCGCAAAAGATGTGAGAGAATTATTTTATCGAGTATATATTAACTTTGTTCATCAATTACAAATAAAACAAATATTGTAAATTATATGTATATTAATTAATTTAAACAATAATTTAAAAAGAAAATAATAATAATTAATTTAAAAAAGTACGTCTAACATACTTTAAACAAAAATTAAATATTTCCTTGTGCTTTTTTTGTATTTGATCTCACCTTCACCGTGATGCCCCAGAGACAATCTCGCTGTCGGTTTGCCGGTCAATAACTCGAAAATGCAAAGACGATCTAACCGGTCTACCGCCGCGACGTGATCTGTACGCTGAGATATAGAAAACAATGCTTTGTATTCAATTTCATCCGTATAAATAACTTCGATGTGAGGAATGTTGTCGTGTTGCGTACAAATCTCAAAAATTTCTCCGTTTTTAGAATGAAGCAAAATCCCGTCTTTGAAATAGTGTTGTTTTCCTACTTGTATAGAATAGAAAGTCGAAATCGACCATATAAATTTCCATGTCACATTCCAATCCGCAGACGTCCTTTTGTAAAACTAAAATTGTTAATTGTAATATAACAAAAAATAAAAATAAGATATTTATAAAAAACAGTATCATACAATAAAGAATAACAAGTTTGAACTTTGTACAAAAATAAAAATAATATATAATATATATATTACGACCGTATAAGTGTTTCACACATAACTAATAAGGAGGCCAATGCACGGTCATAGCAGGATCTTGGTGCTTCTAATATTTTCTTATGTGATTTTACATAGTTTCGTCAAAACTAGAATACGTATGTATAAGACCTATGACCGTGCATTGACCTTCCTTGTTAGTTATATAAAAATAATATATTCTTGATCTATTTAAAATTTAAAATTTTATTAAATACAATTATTAAAAATTTGATTTTTACCAAAAACTTATCAATACGCACCATAATATCACTATTGGTATTCACAACTATTACGCCGCTTTTATGAGCGACGACAATCGGTTTATTTTTTAGACGTTGATGGATTTTCGACTTTTTTACCACCGAGTACAACTTATTAGTTTCTATCGCTACGAGCCATACATTCGCAAATTCATCCGAGACAAACAGGTTTCCTTCCAACGTCCAGGATGAAGAAACAATTCTATGTCCCGGAACTGGCGCGTTCACGCGATGTATACTTACAATTTTGGAGCACGTGCGCACCTGATAAATCTCGAGTGTATTATCGTTGATACCGAGTTGCGATATCAAATGTGGAGGATTCGGTGAACAGCTGGCAAGGTCAAACAATTTATTAATTTTTCTAATCTTGGAATGATAAAAGAATGTATCTCTTAAAACATTGTATTATGTGAAAAATATATTTTCTATTTATATTATCTCAAGAATATTGATATTGCATTATATTACAAGTGAATAATTAAATTTAAATTAATAATTATAAAGTTATATTACAAAAAGATGCAGTACTTACTAAATTTCTTGAACAAGACTGTCTATCTTTGTATTAAGCATAGCGACGTGTTTGCCGGTTCTCCAGAGCCACACGATCAGTCGAAAGTCGGGGAAGCTAGTCAGGCTTATGAGATACTCCGTACCAGCAAAAGAACAAGATAAGTAACCATTGACTTTGTTAGGCAGTACGCACCTGGAGATCCTTTGCAACATTGGATACATGAATATTGATATTTTCGGATTAGGTTTCCTCTCGACTACGGAAAACATGGAAATTGTCTGGCAAAATTTAAAAAAATTATTTACTATGAGACTTTATTTAAAAAATAATTAAATAACACGTAGTGTGACATTTAATTTTTTCAATCTTTAGTAATCCAAATTAATTATTATAAATATATAAGAATAATTGTGTATATCTCATGTGTACCGGATGTCCAGCCAAACACGACGCCCCATCACCTCTTTCTTTGTTATCAAAGCGCTCGATTCGCCTCTCTCTCGTATTTAAATCCAGAAAATTCATGTAAATGCCGGAAGCCGTTGCGATGGTTTCCTTGCCAATAAAAACGAAGTCGTGAGATTTTCCGAATTTCATCCACCTGCACAATAATGTGAATTACATTTGAAAAAATGCACTTTACTCGCCAAGCTCAGAGAAACAAAACATGCCTTGTTTCGGTTGTTGAAAAATTCATTTTGTTATATTTTCTAATCTGTCAGATAATTTAGAAAATTTGTATTATTTTGCACTGTTTCCAAGTCCCCAATTCTACTTTTATCTAACACGCAAATTTTGCTCGTGCAAGCCCCGTGTTTGGTTGCTGAGAGACCCAGATAATATATTGATCGGGGGTGGCCATAGAGACTGCGTTTACAATCCTTTCAAACGTATCCGTAACAAGTCATAAAAATTGTTGTATATAACTAAACTTTATAAATTATAAGTTACAAAATTGAATTGTTTATTTTGAGAAAAATTATAGATAAAAATTAATTTTCTTGTTAATAAAATTTATTTCTAAAAATTTTTATTTAAATTTGTGTAAAAAAATTTCGCATTATCTACAATTATAAATAATTAATAAAATAGTCTTAGAATAGAGAACAATGTGGTATAATAGATAAATATTTTATTTTTGCACGTGTTTTGATTGCCGAATATATGTAAGTAGCTGACTTTTCAGACTTTCATTTGGACACAACATTTGCATCTCCGGAAGATAATAGAACCAAAAGAATGCCACTAAAAGTATGTCATTGGATCAAAGTTGCGGGAGGTTCGAAGGATAGTGACACCGTTATAGACTGCATCGTCCAGCACATAATAATCGCTCATGCCTTTGACCTCTTTCAATGTCATTTTAAAACTTGTAGAATTTACAATAAATACCAGAAAATAATCTACAATAAATATCAAAAAAACTTTTAAGCTATACTTTTATATGAATTACAGAGATGTTCATTAAAAGTAATTTCAACAATTTCATTATTTTCTCCTCTTTCTACAAAATTATTAAAAAAAGAGAAATACATTTTTTTCAAATAATAACACATTATTTGTTTCAAAATATATAAAAGTGTTAGAATAATTTAATAATGATATAAGAAATCATTAATTATATTTATAATTTTTGCAAAATAAATAATTAGAATATATATTTTTGTTAATAAATAATGAAATACCTAATGAAACGATTTTGACATGTTTCATGGCGGGCGGTAACGATCGATGGTTGTGGTGGAAGTATCGAAGGGGCACGGTGTAATAGTAACCCAATAACGTGAATCTCTCGTGCCCCTTCCGAATGCGAACGGCATATATAGTCGAAACGAACACGATAATTTTTTATTCACGATCGATGTGAGTGCCAGTCAGTAAGAATGTTTCCTGTGAACTCGTCATTTGTTAGAACAGTTCTATAAGTTTTTGTGTTTAATGCGGAAGTGAATAACTCGGTAAGTAACAAGATTTGTGGGGAAACATTAGAATCTTAGAGAGCAATTGAGGAGCTAAAAAAGTCTACGTTATTTTCTATTCGAACTAGAAAATTATTTTTAAGTGGAAATAGTCAACGTATGTATAATCATCATTCGAAGTTCTTTGCCTGACTTAATTTAGTAGGTATTATGAACAAATTTTGATATAAAAGTTTGGTATAATTATACTTTAAATAAATTTAAAAAATACAATTTTATGTACAATATATAAAGCAATACATGATTAAAATTATTTTTAATAAATATTTTAATTATTTTTTATATATAAATTCGATGGTAAGTCTTAACAAAATTTATGAGTATTTCTATTTAAAAATTAATTAACTTTATCTATTTTATATGATTCTATCAAGATTTATCAATAATTATTTTTATTAATTTAAATAAAATTATTATTGTAATATAGTGTAAATATAAATTTGCTGTTGTATTGTAATTTGATTTTAGGTTTATTTTATAACTGCAAATATTAATAAATATAGATAGCAAAATAAATAGTGATATAATAACAATGCCAAGTTATATGTATGATATATATAATAAGAGTCTATTGTAAAGTCCATTGCAAATTGCAGCTGTTTTTATTATTTTTGTACTCGTGAATTAAGGTCATTGTTGAATTGATTGCGCTAAAAAGGGGCGAAGACCGCTACACGTTTAGTATGCGCGACATTTACTTGCATTTCGTATTCAAGAGGAATCTTCCGCGCTCATCTAGAAGGCATTTCGTGTCCTGCTGCTTGTTTGTACTACTTGCCCATCTCTTCTTTTTCTAATTAGAATCGATTCAAAGGATTGCTTTTAGAATCTCTAACAAGTCCATTCACTATTATGTTATCTAGCTAAAGAGAGCATGTATGAGGAATCAGTAAAGATTAATCTTCTAATTTTCTAACATTTACTTTAATATCTTATTAAAGTCTTACGTAATGCGCAAAAATAATAAAATAAATATAATAATTTATTATTGCTAAAATTATTAAAACGCATTGAATCGCCGGACAAAATGTCAGACGGTTTACTTGCTGTTGGAGAAAACAATGGTAGTATACAAAAATACTATTCCAGTTTAATAGTTTATATAAATTAATTGTGATCTATTTTTTTTATTGCAGATATTTCTCCAACGATAGCTGATTATCAAAATGTCTTATTACCAAACGCGGAAGCAGCGACTCAGCTGGATTCTGGAAATCTTTCTGCTCTACCTCACCTCAGTCTCATCCCACGAAGCTGTGCCCACGATTTATCAAGATACGCCAGACGCATCGACTCTGAAGATAGAGGCCAGAGAATCCGAGGCGTCGATAACTTTGGGGAAGGAACTAGTCCTCGGTTCTCCTTTGTCGACCAAAGCATCAATCGTCGCCGATTCCAACGATATCGCTTCCACAAGAATTGCTCCCCTCGTGTCTCCCACGATTGTCAGTCGAATGTCTTCCGGGGAGCATGCCGGTTCTCAGAGACCCGTCACGAAGGACGCCGGTCCTCGCGGCTCTTACGTCGACAGCCGCAAGTCTGCTTGGGTCAGCAAAAATCCGAAGACCGCTTGGAAAAGGGACAGCTACCTCCAGGCACTGATGCACTCGCGTCACAGCGACGATCCACGAGAAGGGATCGTGCAGACGGACTCAAAGACGAAGACAAACAGGAGGGAGTACGTGCAGGGGCCCATTTACAAGCCGGAAATGGAGTACGGTTCGCCCGATTCGACGTACGCGCCGAAGAGCCCGCGAATCACCTACGGCGGGCCCAACGCTCCTTCGTTCAGCGACTCTTACCCGCAACCCTTCAAGCCATCGGTGGACTACGGCGATCGCTATAGCGTACCGCAGAATTCTTACGGCCCGCCGCAGAATCCGTATGGACCGCCGAACGACGGTCCCTCGTTTTATCCTCAGACTTCCTCGTATGGATCACCCGGGAACTATCTACCGCCCCAACAAGGTGAGATGAGAATCACCGGCCACCAAAGAATGACTTGAATTACTTGATTTACTTAAATGTGTATTATACTTATTATTGTGATAAATTTAATACTGAACTAAATCAAAATTTGATAAAAAATTTATATTATAATAGAAAAATTTAATTACATTATTTATATATATAATTATTATATTATTCTTCTTTGCTATACTTAAATAAGAATTTGTAAAACTTTTTGAAATTTGCAAATGTTTATGTAAGACCTTTAAAATAATTTTATAACAAGTTGCGAAAACGTATATATTTGATTAATAATCTTTAATAGTCTTTAATTAAAATTAATTTTTCTTTGGCAAAAGTTTTTTTGCTCCTATTTTAAATTTTATTTATTAAATTAATTTGGATTATATTTGTAGTGCTCTTTGATTGCTTAATTTATTATTTAACGCTTTGTTTCCGTAGGATATGGTCCTTCCATACACACTTCCGTTCCAACTCCGATTTATGGTGCACCCTACTCGCTTTCGGATGTGGCTCAAATTTCCCTTTTGCCGAGTATCGATCTAGGATTGCCGCTCGCTCTCAAACTAAATGCATTCACCATCGCGAAAATCATATTGAAGTTAGTGATCTTCAAGATGATCGTGAAATTTATCGCAGTAATCTGCTTGCTGCTCTTTATACCTAAACTTGAGATCATTAAGAAGAAGGTTTCTAATAAAGACGAGGACGACGAGGAACGCAAGTTCTCATCACGTAAGAGTTCTCAGATTAAATCTCTGAACTTTCAACTTTAATTAGAATAAGAGTTAATTTTTAATAAATTTGGAACAAGGCGCTTTAAATAAAAACACGCGCTTATAATCAAGACTATTATTTTCTTATTTATTATACTTCGCTAAGAGTTTCTCATATTTTTCAGCTTATGCCAGCACGGAAACTCTAAACACTCTCGAAGATATAGTAAAAAGCTCCGTTGAGAAATACAAGGCGCAAAACAGTGCTCGTTCAAATTCGACGGAAGGATGCACGACACCTGCGTGTCGCATCGCCGAGGCGTTTACGTTCCACGAATCTTGGCACGACTATTTAAATCTATTCAAGAGTTACGTAGAAGAAGAGAGGCAGCTCACAGAACGAAGAGAGTAGTGAGAGATTTACATTGTCATCGAGCTTCATCGTCGCGTCATTTCTCCCTACTTTTGTAATTATTTATTTTTATAAGTATATATTAATATACTTATATATAAAACTTATACCTTCGACATAAGAAATACTGTATTTATTCTCCCGATTTGCGACCACAAAGTTAAGTCAGAAAAGTATTTCTTTTTGATATAAAAAAAAAATCCATTAAAAATCGCCGCGAACATAGAGCGCTGTCGAATCTATCTCGTAATCGACGTCGGAACGACATGATTAGAGAAGATTACAGGAATGATCTTTCCTTTTATGCACTATGATACTATGATTATTCGGTGCCACCTTGTGCCAAGTAACAAAGTACGCTGGAAATTAAAACTTTAACAAATTATTTATCTCTTGTATAAAATATAAAGATACATCTGCATAATGTTAAATGTGCAGTGTTTAATATGTATTTTATCAACGAGGCAGAAAAATAATTTTTCTCAAAAAAATAATAATCTCATAATGTAAAATTCGATATTATTAAAATGAGAATATAAAGTGAAAGTCTAGTTGTTTTAATTCGTGGCAATATAATATTATCTAAAAATTTTAATAATATAATTTATATGGAATATGCTCTTTATTTCATGGTTTGTAAAAACGTTTGATTGACTAGTTACAATCTGCGTTTCTTTAACAAAATATATCAAATATGGAAATCAAGCGCTATGTAAAGTAAAATTAACCGAGCATGATACATTCTATACTCTCAATCTCTCTCAGGTGGGGATAGATTTAACCGTCACACTCGGTTTATAAACGTTGCATGGTGACACGATATACCAGTTCTCTCGTGATAGCCATTCGCCGTGCCTAGAACTACCGATTTTCATTGACTTTCAACCGGGCCGTCACCAATCAGCCAGCAAAATGGAGGTAGCAGTTATAGTTGGTACGAAAACTGCACCGATGTTATTTTGACATTTTATAGCGCTAAAATCGATCATTCTTGCAATCGACTAAGTGCATTTTTTGAAAAGTGAATTCAAATATGTATAACAATTCTGAAACGCGCGGGCGAAAGAGTTTAATACGATATTAAAATATTACAATTATTTATAATATAATTTATTATTAATAATATGTTATTATTAATTGATTGCATATTTGTAAGGATTTTATAAAAACTTTTCTCTCCTTTTTTATACGATTTTGATCAAAAACAATAAAATAAGAAATTTTAGAGATTAGATTTATTAACTAAAGTGTAAAAATTTGAAAAAATTAAATTTTGATATTATTACAATATATAAACACTTTTCTCAAAATTACATCATTTAAAATCCAATTTGACTCGATCTAAATCGACAATACATCGTAAATTTGAATTACGCAAGTGCGTTTCCTTTCTGATTAATTATTTATGAACGATCAGAAACGTAACTGTGTTTCACGCGAGAGAGCAATGGAAATTTTCGAAGAAGCCTCACCGCAAAAGGAAATGTCTTTAAATGGGCGTGGGCGTAAACGGCCTTGAGCAAAGGAACGTCACAATCGCCGCAAGGAGCGGACTGGTCTCGATTCAAAATAAACCTTGATTTCAATAAAGCCGCAATCATTCAATAGAGACGCGTATTAAGGCCGAACAACATCCTAGCAGTGAGGCTAAGCCACTATTAACGGATTTACGTAATACTATCCTGTCTACAATTCGTTAATAGAAAGGCTTTCGAAAATCGTATTGTTTAAAATTAAATTTCGTCCCACTGCCATTCGTTCACCATAATCCTTTATTAATTGAGAAAATAGTATTAATACTTTTTCCAATATAGGAAAAAATTCATAAACTTATCAATTGCAATTAGAATGTAACCAAAATCGATCACTTTATAAAATAATAAAATAGAAATGTCTGATTAGAAATGAAAAATATTTTTTGGATCAAAATCGAATTATCTTTAATTTCACATTCTTTTTTCGCTCTCTCTTCTTCTATCCTTGATTTTTCCTAGCCTTCGCGTTCCTCAGCATGTTCACGTTTTGCGAGGATACGTACGCTCTTCCCGACGAGGCAGGAAAAGTTGACACCATGAAGAATGTAAAGGAGCCCAAAGATATCAAAGAAGCAGCGACACCGTCGAAAGAGGTAAAAGACGCTATAAAGGCGGCTAAGGATGCGAAGAAGAATAAAAAGGATTGCCAGCGAGATTGCGGGACCAATTATGATCCTGTTTGCGCTCACGATCCTACCGACTCCAGCGTCAAGACGAGGACCTTTGGCACGCAGTGTAATTTGGATGTTCACAATTGCGAGACGGGATCGAGTAAGCACACGAAATTTGCATATAAATTAACTACATAAGTCATATTAATTATTTATATTAACCGTTAGGTCGATGCAAATATTAATACTTTTTCTATTATAGAGAATAATACTATTCATAAATTTAATTGCAATTAGATCAATTTAACCAAAATCTGCCACTTTATGGAAATGTCTAATTAGAAATGAAAAATATATTTTTTAAAAATCAAAATCGAATTATCTTTAATTTCATATTTCTTTCTCTCTAAATGCAAAATGGCCGTATAATAATACGAAAAATGGCTATTTTATTTGCACCAACTTAATATATTATTTATATTAGTCACATTAAATCACGCTGTATTTCAATTTTAGAATTGGTTGTGAAGAGCAAAGGCGAGTGTCCTGGATCCGGCGGAGTAAGACTGTCCTAAACAATCACACGATTCTGGAAAAACACCGAGAAACGCGAAGTAGAATACTAATCATCGAAATAAACTGTTAGATTATTATAGTGAATTTATTTAGTTTGAGTAAATGTCTTAATATCGTACTACAATGCGACTCTTCCTCTCTAACGACGAGAGAGAATTGAGGTACGGTGATACGCAAAGAAAACTGGATATGATTACGTGACAAAATCTTAATGTCAAAATTGGCCGCTAAACTATACGCTATATACGAATGTAAAGTATCTATCTAATAAATATTAATGATGAGCAACTATTGATTTTGTCCGTCATAATCACTTCCTTTTCTGCGACATAGTTGATCCTCGTAGTTTCTAATTTATGTAAGCTGTGTGTGCAGGTATTGAATATGTACTCTCGATACGCAAATTTGAACAGGCTTTCTAATGGCGTCTGCAATCTGTTCTGACATGTAGTTCGCAAAATGTATTCTCGAGACTCAAACAGATAACGGATAGGGAAGTTTCATATCCATTTTATTTTCTGTTATTATACACAAAGCACAGAATATTACATGTATTTTAATTTTGAGATACGTTTTTTACAGCAAAATGTTATTAAAGAAATTATAGATAAATGGACCTTTGAACTATTATCACATTTATTACTTTGAAAGAAAGAAAGAACGTGATCGTATCTCTTCCTATTTTATCTATTCTTAAGTAATAATACGCCATACTGTACACACATGTTACTGTTGTATTGCATAATATGTTTCTTTCTCGTAACTGCAGCATAATGAATGATGTCGACACATTACAGACAAGCTATCTTAGCTATCGTTATCGATTGATAAATAAACGTCAAAGCTTTATAGTTTGTTTTCCAGATGGCAAACAGTAAAAGACACGTTAAATTATATAAGCTGGAAAGAATTAAATTGTATCCTCCTTATTATTGTACTTGTCCTTGTCTCAACATAATTACCCTTTTTAATCTAACATAAAATAAATCTCGCAATAAGATCTTGTTTAATAGAAATTAACTATATACAATCGAACCTCGATAACTCGAAAACTACTCGAATTTTTTCCTTTAAAAGCCATTATAATTGGAAAATTATAAAATCTCATACAAAGCTTCCGTAAGTCAAATTTTCAATTCTCTTTTATTCAAACTTTGATAAATCAAAACTTCTATAACTCAAAGATTTTTATAGCTCCTCCCTTGAGATTCGAGTTATCGAAGTTCAACTGTATTATTATACACGTAATAAACACATGATATTTTTGTAATTTTATGCCAATCAATTATATTTTTTTTTAGATATTAAATAAAGCTTTTATAAATCTTATAAATATCAGGACATTAATTGATTCGCTAAGCGTGTATACACAACGTGCGTGAAAGACCATAATTTGTGCGCGCGAGGCCATTGTCCGTCAATCTTCGTCGTAATAAGTTTACCTTCCAAATCAATGTCCAAGATAATGAGGATGCGACCGTGCGCAATGAAGGATGACGGTCGGCTTGCGAATCCCATCCTCAGTCTGGCGCACTTTATCCCGTCTATAATGTGTCGTCTGGTCCGAACCGTCTGTGACATGACTGACTTATCCACAAAGATTTACTGTGCAATTGTCTTCCTTTCATTCTGCAAGACAAACACGTATTCCTTCGTCTCGCACATCTGCACCGCGAATACCACGCAGATTTCTGCAGGTAACGAATTAAATAATCGTTGGCGAAAGATCTTCGAGCGTGAAAAAGGCCGAAGTAATATTTGTCGAAATTACACTGTTTTTCTCAAAACTCGACTCTTCGGCATGTCTTCGATAAGATTTAAGAAACGCGACCGCGAAACTTGAAACGAAACATCTTGTATGAGCGCAGATATGGAATATTCGTCGACGCCCCCGGAGGAATCGATGTCGATTCTCGAGGAGATGGAGAACCGTCTGTCCAGTCTTGAACGGAGATTGCGAGCGGTCGAACATCCCGGTAAGAATCTCGATTCGAGTAGACACGAAAACATACTCACGCTTTTGGCAGTTTGGCAGATCAGTCTGAGAGAAGAGGACTGGGAGATTTGCGTCGAGGGGCCTTGCAAATGCATACCGGAAATGAAATCGGTGTCCTGCTGGAGATATAATCTGCTAGATCTACCCCCGACGCAATTGGTTCCTGCCGACGTGCTGAGGCTGTAAGTAATTTGATAGATAATATTAGGATAATTTATTTGAAATTCAGTGATTAATCTTTTTCAAAAAAATAATCGAAAGTGTTCGTAAAGATAGAAATGTTTCATATTAATTATAAAATTCGAAATTTGTATAGTATATAAATCTTAATTCTTATTTTTCAAAAAAAATTTTTTTGTTTTATATATTGCACAATATAAAATAATTATTTCTTTCTTTTTTAATTATGACTTCTTATTTAATATAAGATTTAATGTTGATTTTTTTCATCAAGAAAATGCATATTTTTATATTTAATCTTATTGTTAGCACAAATGCTTCGAGAATGGAAATATCATTTCTTCAACGTTTTAGAGATCTCGGAAGTAATCGGCTCAGCGCTCTGCACAGAGACACATTTAAGAACATGACGCAGTTACACCATCTGTAAGTCATGTAACAATCGAGAGATGCATGCATTCTAACGAAACTGTGAATTACAGAGACTTGAGTAGCAATTTTGTCGAACATTTGGCGCCGAGCTTGTTCCTGTCGTTGCATGGCATCGCAAATGTCAGGTTGAGTAACAATCTCTTGAAGGAAATTCAACGTAGTCAGTTTCTTGGACTAAGAAATCTCCGAATACTGTACGTGAGATACTCATGACTATTACTAATTTAAAAAAAAGTAAAAAAAAGCATGGAGATTAGTAATCGTAGCAATACGTAATAATTTCATAGGTTCTTCACATAAATTTTTAAATATCAAGATGCTTTATTTAGTTGTTTTGAAAAAGTTTAGTAAAAAGAGAGAAATAATTAAATGTTTAAATGCTTAATGTATATATTATACATATACTCCTTTATAACTATATATTAAAATTTATTATATTTGATATATCTTACTGATACAAAAATTATGTAATATATCCTGCTGAAATTCATTTTTTTTGCCGTTTTACTAATGGTTCAATATACATTTTTCATTTAGCGATCTGTCGTCGAATAAACTTCGTACTTTGCCAGATGATCTTTTTTTGAGTAACGCCTATTTGGCTTTGCTGGATCTTTCCTGCAATCGCATTTCGTTATTATCCCCCGGTGCATTTCATGGCCTCGCGAATCTTGATGAATTGTTGCTGGGTAAAAACCGACTAGCTGGATTACCCGTTTCAATTTTCCGGGAGACCGTTAATCTCAAACGCCTCACACTCGAGGAAAATCGTTTGAAAGAGCTGCCTAATGGTATATTCAATGATCTGACGTCTCTCAAAGAGTTAAATATGCGGAACAATCGACTTACGGAATTGTCCAAAGGATTGCTGTTGACTCTGGGAAAATTGGAAATTCTGGAAATATCAAGCAATAGAATATCTCGTGTAAATAATTTTTACATTTTATAATTTTGATCTTAATTTTATTTTAAAGAATTAAAATATTAACATATAAGTGTATATTATAAAATATGTTTTTTATCAAAAATATTTATAATATCTTATAAGTTTTTAGAAGATCATTTCTGTTTAGGCATAAATACCTTTCTTTGTTATAGATTGATGCAAAAGCGTTTCACGGTACGGCAGCGTTACGAGAGCTTCGACTAGGACATAATCATATAAGAAATCTGACACCTGGATTATTCAACAATTCGGTATCCTTGGAACGTCTTATTCTCTATGGCAATCGCATAGAAATCCTCGTAAGAGGCGTTTTCCGCGGCTTGTTCAATCTCACTTCTCTTTTTCTGCAATCTAATCGATTGAAAGTACTACAATCAGGAGTTTTCGAGGACACGCCGAACTTGCGGAAGCTGTAAGTCGATGCTTGAAATTTTGTATCATTGTAACATTACTGACTTTAATTAATATTATTTAATATCAAAATTCTTTATATATTATGATATTATGAGTATCCTTTTTGAAATATACATGTAAACTAATATAATAAAATAAAAGTAAATATAAATGTAACATGCTGTTATTTTTAGGCAACTGGAATCGAATGACCTCTCCTTCTTGCCGCCTGGCAGTATGGATGCGGTATCTACGATTCCGCAAGTACGCCTGAGTCAGAATCCCTGGCATTGCGATTGCCGTGCCTCTTACGTTGCTTCTTGGCTGCGCAAAAGATTCGCGAGCTTCGCGAATCTGACCAATCCGTTTCAGATACAGCGCGTTTTAGTCACAGGTAATTGGAGTATTTGGGAATTTGGGGCTGGTGCAATATGCAGAGGTCCAGGTATACTGGGCGGCCAATCGCTGCTGCGTCTGACCTTTCATGAACTCTGCGAGGGTCAGTGGGCCTCTATGAAAGGTATCATACCACGATTACCACTCGATGTTATAACGCCGTCCGTCACGACGCAAGTAGCCAGGAAAGACACGATTTTGGTACGGATTAAACAGAAATTTAATTAAACAGAATATTTCCGTATGCCAATCTTTATTTTCTAAATCTTTAATTTTGCAATAAAACGATCTATAAAACGATACAAGAAAATTTACAAAGAAGTTTATGTAACAAGTTCAATTTAATGGTGATACGAAATAATGAGAATGAAGATAATTTCCAATACTTGTCTAATTATTGTTTCTTATTTTTCGCTTATGTTGTTACAGGTATGAAAGGCGTAAAGCTCAGATTTCTGAATTTCCTACAGAGAGTGGAATGTTGTACAACACATGGAACATTTAACTATAATTAATGTGCCTCTTAAAATATTTTTTTGAATTGCACTTAATTACGTTTTGTTTTCTTTTTATTAAAAATGCAATGAAATAGTATAACCTGGTTTCTTTGCAACTGTACGCTGCATGTATTTACTATTTATGTGATAACCCAACATGTAATACTTAATAAAAATAATTATAAAATAAAATAATATGTAGAAATATAAAAATATTAAATAAAGATGCACTTTTAAAATATTTGATTGCAATTGCTGATAATTGTTTTTCAAAGTTAATTTTTCGTATTAATCAATTATTTATAGGAGTATAATAAAATATATAAAAAATGCAAATAACATTACCTATATTAAATTGATTAAAAGAAATTAATATTAATATATCAATCACATAATTTTTTAAAAAATGAAACATGATTTCATTCAGGCGTTAATTTATTGGACAAAATTAACATCCAATTACAAGTTACGAAGGTGTAAAACAGGGGTGCCCAGCTAGTTTCTCCGAGAAGCCAGGCTCAAGTTTTAACCATTACCCACGGGCCAGACTAATATCAAATTATTGCCCTCTCTGCGTTACCTATAGGTATTGTCACGAGGAGTGTAATCTTCATATTTTGGAAGACGTTCTCGAGCCGGACTGATAGGCTCTGCGGGCCGAATTTGGTCCGCGGGCTGTTGAACATCTGTGATATAAAGATTATTAACAATTATTTGAACAATTATTATTATTGGCAATATAATGTAACTTTCTTTTAAATATTTTAAATGCTAGCACGTTAATAATTTCGCGGATAGATGAACTCGAGCGTGACATAGATGCTTAAAGATAAATTTTTATATATTATAGTAATTATAAACATAAAACATTGTTATAATGCGGCCATATAAAGAGGATTATCGCCACATTATAATAATAATTTATATAACGCACAGCGTTTAGAACAACTACGCCAATTCGACTTTGGTAGTTCGAAATGGAAGGGATCCAACCAGTAAGCCATATTTGACAATTGATCAGTCAGTCTAAAATATATTCTTCGTGATGGCAGCATTAAGTTCTGAAAGTGTTGTCGAGCATTTGGAGAATCTCCTGAAGCTCCTCAAAGAGGAACAAGCGTTTGAAGAATCTAGCAATGATCTTGTTTTACGATTTCTTTCTCCCAAAGATTTGTAGGTAAATATTATAATAATTTAATCTTTTAACTTATGTCAGCAATTAATTCTCGAGTGATTAATCTACTTTCGTTCGAGTTACCTATAGATTTTTCTTTGTCAACATCACACATTTATGATAATATATTGTATTTCTACTACTTGCGAATTATATTTTTATCCTATAATATAATCACGCATTTGGATTACAAATGATCGGTACGGCGACAATTTTTACGTGTGCTATTTATTTAAAACAAATCAAGTATGTTTAATGAAATGCTGAGCAATTTTTATTAATTCAAAGGATATTTTTCTTTCTTTTCATGGTGTTTGGAAGGTTTAAAATTACAAACAATAAAATAAAATTCTGGAAATAAATAAAAATAAAAAAAGAGAAAAATAGTCAATATACAGCCAACGTGGATATCCCTCGTAAAAAAGAACTACTAGTGCAGTAAAAACATTACTGAAATGTAGTAGTGGCACTGCTGGTATAGGGATAACAATTTAACATTCGTTCTTGAAACGTTACATACAAAAACAAAAACAAAGATGTTTCAATCAGTAGTTTTTGATCCTCTTCAGCAAACTTCTTATCTCAAAGAGATAAAAGATAAAAGATAAGGGGTAAAAAAATATTTAATTAAAGATAGAGCATAGATTGTACACTCAGAGAAAGGATTAGCCAACACAGCTAACAAATATAGCCGTGGCAGCTAATGCGTGAACTTTAAAATAGGAACAGCTAATATCGTTACTGCCAAAGCTAAATTTATTAGTTGTTAAAATTTAGGCGCTACAGCAAAAAATGCTGCTAGAATTAAATGATGTTTAGCTAATTCTATTGAGGACTATCCAGCAAAACTTTTAAATTTTTCAGCAAAATCATTCTTTCTATATGTCACTTTCTTAGCTACTTTTGTTAAAAGGCGCTTTTATTTTAACTAATAAAATTGTATCTTGCAACAAATATATTTTATCTTTAATAGTTAACTTTTAACAATAACAGCAAAGTTTGAACTAGCTACATTTAACTGATAATGCTAAGCGATTTTTTTACCTGTAAACGATGATTTAAAGATATTGGCGAAAAACACGTATATAAAAATAATTATTTTTAAACATATTTCTATTACGTATGTAATGCTCCAAAAATAAATGTTTAATTGTTATGATATCCGCATCGGCTCTATTGGCTATTTTTTTTGTTTGTTTAAAGTAAAAATTTCTTGATACTTGATAGAGAGATCAGTAGCTTCTTTTTATTTTTTCTCTTTGTTCTGATCTATTAGGTCGCACTCTGGAATCCGCATAATATGCTCGAAGCGCCATATCAGTGTTCTTTGATCATGATCGCCGATCAAGCTAACCCAGACCGGAGTAACTATTTGTCACGGACAAACGTCGTTGGAGACGAGCGACATATTAATACATTTTGCGAACCCGTCTACGATACGGAGTATCGTAAGAGTGTACAATGCAGTAGGAAGGTAATTGCAGTTCACAATCTTAATTATTGTATACAAAACATCATATTTTATTTACAACAATTTAAGATTGTTTACAAATAAATAAAAAATATTTAAAAGATGCTTGATAGATTTTTGAAAAATGTCTAAAGAATTAAGATTTTTATCAATTTTTGTAATATTAATTGAAAAATGGTCATTACTTTTTTGTTTCAACATTTGAAAATAAAACGGCTTAAGGTTGATGCAATGAAATTTTGGTTAATGTGAAAAGCTCGCGGTACAACAGATTTACAGCTATTGGTAGATAACGCCATGTTTTATGCGAAATATCTTCTGGTACAAATAAAGGGATCCCAAGACAGCTTCCGCTCGGTGCTGGAACATTACGATTCTGCGACTGTTTGCTTTTGGTAAGCAATTCTATATTATCGCAAATTTCGTGATTTTGTCATGACGGATTCTTTTAGATACATACCTCCGAGCATACGTAATCAGGAAGAGACTTCAAGCTGGTGGAAAAACTTGGATTCTGCCACAGACATAATAAAGAAGCGTTTATTTGAGAAGAGAGCTCTCATGATCTCTTGTGTGTCATTACCGGAGCCGAAACGATGCAAATTCTTTCGCGTAGTCGTGAAATGTCAACCGCCGCCTACGGAATCTTCCATGGATTACATTCTCAATCAGATAAAAGAAGCCGGAGCTGACTTGTTGTAAATGCGAGTTTTTCTATTAATATACAACATTGGAGATTCGTCTTTACCAAGAATTATTTATATATTCGAAGCATCAACTCATGAAGTCATTTAAAAGAAGCATTGTTCCTTTTCATTTAAAACACATATGCTCGGATAAAAGTATCGAGTACAATAGTTTATTTACGAATTTAATATCGACGCTTTACAATTTATAGATACATAAGATGTATGGAAATTTTTTTAAAATGATAAATATGTTAATAAAGATAGAATTAATTACTGATATAATTTGTTCGTATTATCTGCTTCTCTTTCATAGGAATACGCGTATAAAAATGAAAATAAATTTTCATATATAAATCGTGTTAAAATGAAATAGTTTTTTTCAAGTTAAATCATTGCAACTTGTCTTAAAGTTTCTCCTAGAAGCAGTATTACGTAATGTCCGTGGAATATTAGATACCAATACTTTTTCTTAATAATTATAACACGCATCGTAAAGTGTCTTATTACACTTCACTGTTGATTATGCTTTGTTTTCTTTCCGTTATCATAAGAAAGAGATATGTCCATTTTTTTACAATTGCGCATTGTGTGCGTGCGATAATGCAACTTGCAACTTATAATCATAACGTAAAATATGGCACGAAATGGAAAGAAATGTTCCATAAAACCGCAGTTCTGAAAACATTCAAGTGTAACCGTTTACCTCAACATCATGTTTCCTTCTCCCATTTTCAAGAGATCAATTTTCTGCATTTTTAAACTGTATGGAACTGCAGAATATTTAACACTGTGCTTGAATGAAATCTATCCTTACGAATTCAAATTTAAGAAATACTGTACTAATTATCACATAATTTTTCTCTGAGAATATAAAGAAATTTTTCCTTACAATGTTCTATGATTTTAGTACAAAATGCGATTTAATTGAATATGATCGCAATTAGAAGCTGCGAAATTTGAGAATTATTCAATATCGATGTTCAAGTAAACAGTACATTTGTGAGCTAGTCTAATCGCGATTAAACTATTTTAAATGTCTAGCGTATTGATATCTAGAGCACGACAATAATTCCACTTTCGTTGTATTTTTATGCAAGTTGCGGAAAGGCAAAGTGCAAGAACCAACTCGGGCGTAACGGGGAGATGAACTCTGTGCATAATTGGCACGCACGAACTCCGCAGCCGCGCAATGGAATCGTCGAGGTTCACGTACGTACAACGTGTTTTCAATGACGGTAACAAAGAGCGATTCGCTAGTGGTAAAGTTGAAATGGAAGGGGCCCAACAAGCGGGCCGATGGATCTGTCGGTTGGTCGGTTAGTGTACTCTTCGCCATGGCTGCATCAAGTACCAACGATATCATTGAACTGTTGGAGACGTTTTTAAAAATACTTAAGGAGGAGCATGTGTTAGATCGGTCTGACGATCAACCTGTGGTACGATACCTTTTTCCTGCACAATTGGCGGTAAATAACATTTCTATTTTTTGTGCTAGCAAAAGCTGTCGTGTAAAAATGTCGAATATATATATTAATTTGCTGTTGCTCGAAGTGTATTTTTAAATTTAAAACAAATTTATGTCAGAATTTACTTTACGGTAATGCTATGTTTTTTATATTGCTTTGTGCTGCATTATAATTTCGTGAAACATTATATTTCTATTATTTTTCTCCTTTAATCAAATAAGGATTATATAATAATATTGTTTACATTGAATGACAAGAATTGAAGACATGTGGAAAAGATTGTTTATATAGTTAAATTTATACTTACTATATATATATATATATGCGTTTTATTAGTAAATAATTAATTAAGAAATTATTAAAATTGATATATTAAACAATGTATAAAGTTAATAAATAAATATAGCAGTCAAATATTTAGATCTAATTCAATAAATATTTTTTGTAAAATAGTCTAACATTAAGAAGAATATAACATTAAATGAAGTTTAACTTTTAGTAGCTATATACGTTTAATGAATTCGATAATGTTTTTGTTGTTCTAACAGTGGCATCATAATTGTCACATACCAATTAGAAAAAAAACGATTATTCGCTTTACCGCATATCTTGCTAAAATTTGAAATATTTCTCTTTATTTGTAAACTCTTCTTTTAGATTACACTCCTCTTTTCGCGCTTGAACGAAGTGTTATCTTGTTTGAAGATTGTTCTTATGCACTTCAGAGCAAATTTAATACGCTCAAACGTGCAACAGAAATCATTAATAATATATTAAAGAATAATTATATTCCAAGCACAATTAATTATATCATAGAATATTATTATGATAAATAGTACGTTTCATGTTTATACATTTGTACATCTAACTTGAATGCTTCAACCGATTTCCGATGTAGTGCACGTAGATAGTAATGGATTCTGGCGGGAGAAAATATTCCACGGTGTACAATGGAATACTTGCTCGTGGAATATTTACTAATATGATACGCAGAAGTGTTGCGATATAGGTATGGGGTCAATGAGCAGCATTGACGCGTAATCGGAATGTTCGCCAGACGAAATGTCGCTTTCCACGAGGAACTTTGACATGTCGCGATAATGTTTCATTTTTTCAGGAAGTTTCCTTACAAAATATGGAGTAACATGTAATAAGCAATCTTGTGAAATAATTTCGAAATCCAAACTAACAAATTTATTAATTTGTTTTTTATCTTTTGATTATTGAGAGAGAGATTCAAATATAATTCTAAATAATAGATTAAATAAACAAAATTAATAACTGTTTTGAAGATGACATATCTGTGGCCATAGAAGTTACGACGCTGAAATCTATTAAAGATTGCATTAGATAATTTATAATTCACGTCAATTTAGAACAGAATTCTATAATTCTATGACATAAATTATATTTTGTATAATTATATTTTCTAAAGCTTAACAGCGTTAATTTTTGTAAAGAATAATTATTTCCTTATTTGTAGCAACTCATGCCATTTTCTCTGGACGACAATCCAGCGAGTAGCAACGAACTAGAAACACTGATACGACAGACTATACAATTCTCCGTGAAAACGTCCAGTCCGCATTTTCATAATCAACTTTACGCTGGAATTGACGAGTATGGATTAATTGGCTCCTGGTTGACGGAAGCGTTAAACACCAGCCAGTATGAACACCTTTTCAATTCTAAGAAACAATTTAAAATAATAATTTAAAATGGACAATGTATTCACCGTGCTCACGGGACGCAATGCTATTTGCCTCTCTCGCGGCGAAACGTGATGAGTAATCAAAGCTATTTCCTTATCGTCTCGTGACCAGACTATATTGCTAACCCAGTTTGCATCTCAGACGATGCACGACCTACAATAATTGCAATTATAACGATGTATTGAAGTCCTTATCATCGCCACGGAATTTTTGGTTTCGTTAGAAAGATAAAATAAAGGAAATGAAGTTAGATTATAACTTCTCGTCGATAATGACTTCAGGAATGCCCTATAATAAAAATAATGCTCTATAGATAAAATGAGATACAAGTAGCTAATTGCTAATTATGATTGCAAACTTTTCTGTTAGATATACCTATGAAGTCGCGCCGGTATTTACTCTCATAGAGCGAGAAGTGATACAAAAATCACTGAAGCTGTTCGGCTATCCATCGATGCCAAATGCCGACGGTATAATGTGCCCAGGAGGTAGCATATCAAATATGTACGGAATGTTATTGGCCAGGCACAAGGTGGTACCGTATGTCAAAGAGACAGGGCTCTTTTCGTTGTCAGCACCTCTAGCGTGTTTTACTAGCGAAGACAGCCATTATTCAATTTTGAAAAGTGCCAATTGGTTGGGCGTGGGCACTGCTCATGTTTATAAGGTATGACAACGTGAAAAAGTTATAATTAATTCATATTCCAATTTAATAATAATATATACAATAGTTGTTGGATTTTTTTTTTAAATCAGATTTTACATCATTATGCAATTATTATATATATTATTAATTAAATAATATTTAATATATATAGAGTGTCTCTCAGACCACCGATTTAAAAACGAGAGAAGTGGATTTTTATCAAAAATCCTAAAAATTTTGATAAGTAAATCGGGTACGCTTGGTCAAACGGTGATATCTTCAACTTTCGGTTCCAAACGGAAATGAGTTCAGTTATCATATGTATATGTACAAAAAATGTCTCAGACCATCTACGCCACCCATTTAAAAACAAGGGAAATGGTTTTTATCAAAAATCCCCAAAATTTTCCGCTGAAACTGAACTCATTTCCGTTCGGAACCGGAAGTGGAAAATATCACCGTTCGACCGAGCGTATCCGATTTACTTATCAAAATTTGAGAGAATTCAATCGTTTCGAAAAGCCGCAAGACTAAAGAATATATATATATATATATATATATATATATATATATATACAATATATTTATATATATAAAATATAATTTTAATTTCAAAGATAGCAAAATTTTTGCATAATATTCTCATATTTATTTAGTTTAGTAAATATTAGAAAAAAGATTCTTTAGTCTTGGCTTTTCGAAACGATTGGATTTTCTGTCGAGGGGAAAGCTAATTATGATGATGAATTATACAAGAGTACGTCCATTCGTTAGGTAAAAACGGACGAGTTTGGTCGCATGAAGGTGTCTGAGCTAAAGAGACTTATAACTGAAGTGAAGAAGGATAAAAAAGAAATACCGTTCTTCGTGAATGCCACCGCCGGAACCACGGTGCTCGGTGCGATCGATCCGTTACCGGAAATCGCTAGGGTATGCCAGAGCGAGTCACTCTGGCTGCACGTAGACGTTCGTATAATTATGAAATATCCATTTAGCTCGGGGAATCGATATAGTCTAAACATTCATTACAGGCTTGTCTCGGTGGGACCCTAATGTTCTCGGATACGTACCAGTACAGGCTGCGGGGCATTAATTTGTTCGTAATTATTTCTTGCGACAGAATGTCGTCGTGAAAGGAAAGTACTGACCTTCCTAAAATTGAAAGGTTCACTGTTCCGCAAATCAATGTCTTAATTGAATAATCGTTGTCTGTAGCGTGATTTATTTCGAAATCTTGTTTAGGCCGTTTAAACGAAACATTTAATAATAACTACGAGTCTAAAAAAGACTGGGGAAATACTTTCCTTTCTGCGATGCCGAGCTGACACTGGATTTCCTGACATAGAAACCGGCAGTCTTTCTAACCGATTTTCTCTGTTCCGCGTTCTCTTTATGGCTGATTCAGATCGGACTCGATATCCTGGAATCCGCACAAGATGCTCGGCGCGCCGTTGCAGTGCTCTTTATTCCTGGTCAAAGGTAAAAACGTGCTGCACGAGGCGAATTCCGCCCGGGCCAAGTATCTTTTCCAGCAGGACAAATTTTACGACGTTAGCTGGGACACAGGTGACAAAAGCGTGCAATGCGGCAGAAAGGTAATCACAATCTTCACAGGATGCGTGATGTAGCGTCACATACTTATTCACGGTCATTAGTAAATTATAAAAAGAATCTAAGGTTCTCGCTTAGACACGTAAAAAAAAGATAAAAAAAATATCGTTCCAATATCTTTACAATTTTTTGTCGAAAAATTGTCATAAATTAACGTTGCAATTTGATAATACTCCTCAAGGTCGACGCAATGAAATTTTGGTTGATGTGGAAAGCCCGCGGCAAGATCGGCTTTTCGCAACTGGTGGACGATGCGATGTTCTACACGAGATATTTCCTCGATCGAATTAACAAGATCGAAGGCTTCCGGCTGGTGCAATCTGATTATCAATGCTGCAACATCTGCTTTTGGTAAGAGATCCCGCGTTATCGCGAGATACGCAGTTATAATTGGCGACGAGTCTTTTCAGGTATATACCAAAAGTAATGCGCAATCAGAAGGAAACGAAAGATTGGTGGAAGAGACTGTACGCTGTCACGGCCGAGATAAAGAAGCGTTTGATGCTGGAGGGGAATCTCATGATTAGTTACATGCCGTTACCGCAGAAGAATCTTGGCAACTTCTTTCGCATGGTTGTAAACTGCCAACCGCCACCCACGGAATCGTCCATGAATCACGTTATCAAGCAGATAGAAAAATACGCTGATATAAAATTCGCCGATCTCTAGGAAGGAGGCTTGATCTTCACGAGCTATATGCGTATGATGACGTCGAAGATGCGTTCTTATCGCGAAGATTGGTATTACAAGTACTTACGGAGTCGTAAAAAAAAAAGAATCATGTCTTTATTACAAACAAGTGCGCGGGATAAATGCATCGGGTACAGTATTCATTACTCGCGTACACGTACATGTGACCTCGATAATGATAATTTATCTGATGCTCGGCATAACATCAAACGTTGTTACATCATAAATTTCGCGACCTCACATATCATTATCTCGCATTCTTCCCATGACGGATTACGCCAACTCGCGGGAAGCAATTAACACGATTAAACTCTTAAGTTTCTGGAAGACACCGGAGAGATTCTTCCAAGTTTCAATCCAATTTAATTCCCTCCTTGGCTCCGACAAGGCGAAAGATAAATTATTTTAACGATCGCATGTATAAATGTAATTCGCGGGCGCGACTCAATGTGAGCCAATATACATAAATGCAATTGTCGCGCGACGTGTGTTCATCTCTTACATAACATACGCATTCACTTCATTCATAAAACTGCATTTAAGAATATGCACTTTTTATGTACACAACTCCGTATCATGGCACTACGTTACTCAATATAAAATTCGATATTTCTCCTGAATAAAAACAAAAATGACAAAACTATCTCCCTAATATATCTCCAGGCAAGCCTACATAATACATTTTGTATTTGTACAATTGTGTATATATATCTAGGTATATCTAAATCAATCCATCAATCCTTGGACCAAGCGTAAGTTTAACAGATACGGTTTCTTTCTCTCCTGTTGCATGAATACAATCTTACAAATATATGAAAAATATGAAAATTCCCATGAGAAATCGTGAAACTTTATACAGATGAATCGAAGTCGAATGCCCAAGCGTGAGCGGGATTGATTCTCGGTTTCGTCCTTTCGCATTATATGTCTCTCTTTTTTCACGGATATATACACAGAAACAAAAATAAACTCTTATAAACTTTCTTGAAACAACGGTTTTCACCTCGGATCTTCCTCCGAGTTATCGCATCGCACGACATACGACGCATCACAAAATGCCACACTATTACAGTAGTATGTATCTCATATACATCTTAAAACACAGCGACTGAAAAAAAGATTATCGCCATATCCCTTCCGAAACGTAATCATTAATATTGAAAAATTTCGTCGACTAATTTGCGTCGTTAATTGCAGCGTCATTAACTCTCGAACGCGTCAGAGAACGCGTACATATTGCTTACTTAATGCTAAAAACGTATAGTCTTATAATCAGGCGTTTGCTTGCTCGATCGTACGTATGTCGTTTTTACGTCGAAGATGCCGCCTTAGCTTAGTTAAGTAAAATACAATCTTCCTGTAACAGGAAGTCTGTCCTCACATTTGCCCACTTTAACGTCGACCGAACGTCGGTCGATCAGAAGAGTTTACATGCAGCTGCCAAATGCGTGGAATGAGTTCGCGTTTGTGGTTATTACCTGCGACTCACTGCGTACAAATAAATCACATGAAAAATCACGTGCTTAAAACGACCAGAACACAAATCACTATCCAAACGACGCCGATATTCCGCGCGGGTAACTCGTTCAGTAGTATTTGTCCTGATCGAGATCGGCACGGATGTGCTGCTGGCCGTGACTGTTACGCTTCAGGGTGGCGGATTCGTAATCGAGACTCTTTGGATATAATTTGGGGCTGCCGAGGCCGTTGACATTGGGATTGTTCTTGCCGCGTAGAGTACCGTTTCCGTTGGTGCTGCCCGAAAAACTGGGCTGTCGCTTCGCGTTCACCTGTAAGAATTAGCTCCTTTGAAGTATATCCAAGGAAATCGCAAGGTGCGACTTATATAACAGTCGAGCATGCTTTCGAGCCTTACCTCCTTCAACGGCACGATGACGTAAGAATTCTGTTTACTGATGTAATGCGGACTCCCTGGAATGCTCGGCTTGCGCCGCTTCAAGTAGCAGAAGCACAACACCGCGGTTAGGGCCAGGCCGATGATGAAACTGATCACACATCCGCCCACTACTGCGCCCACCGTGATGCCCGAATCCTCCACGCTCGAAGGCAAGGCGTTTATGTCTGAAAAAAATATATATATATGCAATGCTCAACAATGTTACTCTTTAATTTAATAAATTAAATTGCTTAAATGTAAAAATATCATATACATATAAATCTATCTCATAATTGTCGTAACTTTAAAATTGTCTCAACGAACTCACCATTATCCATGCAATCTGGAAGGCAGTCGCGTGTCTCACGAGTCGGCCCTTGACACATGCCGGGCCCATGCTGAAGGCACGTTCGCTTTCGGTGCTGCTGATGATTGCCGTCGCAGGGAGTCCAATGCGACCACGTGTCCCAACCGGCCAGCAATTCGCAACTGGGCATGTCGCAGCTCTCCTTCACCAACCTCGGGCCACTGCAACTCTCCGGGCCGAGGCATTCTCTCGTCCTTGTACGCACTCCGCCGCAGGTCGCTGAACATTCGGACCACTTTGTCCAGCTTGACCACTGACCCTCGGCCGTATCGTCGCTGAGATTCACGCGACATGGATGTGAATTGCAGACTCTGCTCTGCGTGGCGACACCTTCGCAGGGTGGCGATTCGCACTGTCTTGACTGTAAAAATATAGCAGTCGTATTTTTGTATTACATTAATATTGTATTAATAAACTGCTAAAATATAGATTGAATCATCTTGAATTAAATTATTTATTCTTTAATTGACAGAATTGTGAATAAATCTTTTGCGATTGTAATATTTCATTGTATGAAATAAATTGTTTTTTTAGTTTTATTTTACTTTTAAATAAGTTAAATCAAACAGCGAGAACATCTGATTTCCGAAATCTGACCTCGTAAAACGATATGATTTTATTTTGGATATAATTGTATCAAGATAAAATTGTGAGAAATACTCACTCTAAACTGGATACCCTTTCCACAAGGACGATCGCACAGACCCCAAGAGGACCATTCGCCCCAGCCACTTTCGTTGATGGACTCCGCATACGCGTCCTTCCCTCTGAGACAAGATCCATCGTTCCTGCAGGAACGCTCCTCTTCCTTGGCGAGTTGCACTCGCACGCTTGAAGGATCGTCCGTCTGCGCGCGGCAACTGAATCGGAAGCGCTTCTCCAGATAAACCGTGCTGCCGCTTTGTAAACTAGCGTTCACGGCCAGCCAAGGGGTCCACCCGGAGTATCGTCTCGTCTCACCACATTCGTGAGTGTTACATTCCTCGAACTAAAATACATTTCGGTCTCATCACGCAACATTCTATCCGGCTATCGAGAAAGATCTCCAAAAATAGGAGAAATTTCTCCTACGAGAGGGACTCAAGACTTGCCTGAATATCGCATCCTGGACACTCGACACCGCCCTTCTTTGGCGACGGACTGTCGCAGATTCTCTTTCTGATGCGTATTCCTGTAAAATGGAAATCGCGAATTTTATACCGAGAAAGCATGTGAAATATTGTTACCATACTATTTCAGACAGTACAATAATCTAAAATCGCAAATGTTTGCTTATAAAAATATTCTACAAATGTTTTTTTGGGGGGTTTTGCACTGTCTGGGATGTTGCCACGATTATGAGGATACTCGGGGATACTCACCGCCGTTGCACGGCCGCGAACACGCGTGCCAAGGACCCCAGGTCGACCATTGACCATTCTGAGGCGGCGGGGTGGCTTTAGCGGGAGCGGGACAGGGCGGCAGATCGATGCACATGATATCATCGTGATCATGCCCGACGCAAACGCGTCCGCCGAATGCGGGTGCCGGATTCGTGCAGGTCCGCCGGCGGGTTTTCATCGCGAAACCGCAAGTCTGAGAGCACGCCGACCAAGCCGACCAAGCGGTCCAACCGCCGTGGACGGTGCAATTTGTCACTCTGACACGTGTACCCGTGCAACTCTCACCACCGTGCTGCGGCGGGGGATTATTGCATTCCCTGGTCTGACACTGACACGTGTCGATCTTCTGTAGGTCGAATTTTCAGCGTTACTTATCAATTTCACGACTTTGCGATAGACAAGATGTTTATAATCGAGCAGTTTATTTAGTACCACAAAGCTTCATTTTACGATAAAAAAAAGCTGCTCACATTTATCATTAGATATTTAAATTCGATAGTTCACGATCCGCTTGCGAGGAAAACGAAAAATATTCTTAATCTATCTACGTAATAAACATGTCCAAACGCACCTCCGCGTGTTCGCTGTGCGAGTGCGAGTGAGCGTGACCGTGTCCGGGCGATTGTTCTCCCGTGCCGTGTTGACAGGGCGACCAAGGACTCCACGCGCTCCACCCTCCGTCAACAGGATCGGTAAGCACTGGACACTTGGTGACCTCCTGATGCCAATGATTCGCCAGATAATTCTGCTTCGGTGCCTGCGCGCACTTCATGAGATGTTCGTTCCATCCGCAATACGGCTCCTGGGCGTTCAAGCACGCTTGACGGCTTCGATGACGATAACACTGAACGGCAGGTATGCTAAACGACGGGAGGCGTTACGATGCGGTTTAGCCAAGCATTTAGCACAAACAAAATATTTTATTGCCGATATAATGTACGTAATTTATAACTGAGCGACGTATTTATTCGGAACGACAAGATTTACAATTTACATGACATTATCAATTTATTTTTATTTTCGACAACGTAAAGTGTCGCTCACGAAGCTGATAAAATTTTGCGGCCGCGATGGGGGATTGTCGTCTTACCGTAAGAGGCCAATCTCCATGCCAACGTAGAGACTCTGCGTGTCCTTGAGAAATTGCAGTGTCATCGGCGGTGAAGGTAAGGGTCCCCAAACTTCGACGATGCACGTCTCCTGTGTCCTAGGCAGAACCGAGATCTTCTTGATCAGACCGGTTGCCGTGGCGACATAGAGGACGGTCACGCTGCGGTGCAGCTTGGTCGGGGTAACGTCCACCGCGATGTGAGTGAATCGCTCAAGGGTCACAGTGTGCAGCGGCCCCAGCATCGAGCTCTGCACCGCCTCGTCCATCAGCTGGTACCGCTGATTGTCCATGATCTGATGCGGCGCGGTGCTGGACGGAGGTCCGCAGCGTTGGCGATTGTGATGGGCGACCGGACTTCTTTCCCATGCGGCACCAGCGTTTTCCTGATGCTTGAAAGGCCCGTTAAAACTGGCGGCCACGGCCGACATGTTGAACGCACAGATAGCCGAGCCTGCGATGCTGTTACTGCGACGAAGGAAGAAAAAAAAAAAGGATTCCAATTAACGCCGGTTTCTTCTTTGAGAGATCGCAGCTTCCGTATGCGAAAAGGCAATTCCGTTGTATTCGAGCGATAAAGAACGTTAAGACGATGAAATTAGCGAGCGTGCGTAATGCTGGCAAACGATGGACTTCAAATAACTTAGGATATATTAAAGATAAATGGCTCAACGGTGTAAATTTTTACATAAATATGGAAACCTAACGAGTCACACAAAACATAAATAAAACTGACGATTTTTTAAGACTTTCTTAAATCTTTAATTGCTCAATTAAAATTAATCAACATTGCCTTCAATGTCTCTTTCGTAGTCGTAACAAATGATGAATTTGAAGCATAAATCAACTTAAGTCAACGTAAGTAAAATCTGCGTTGCGTACCGCAATAATCAATTTGTCATTTACCGTCTTTTGCGGGATTGTGAATCTCCATCTGGGATTGTGCACAGACATAAACACAGATGATAATTAATGCGCTTGCAAATTAATCGGATCACTGAACGATACTCACATGGGAGTCGTGAAGGTCGCGTAAATGATTCCTTCTTCCGGATGATAGGCCGCGCCTTGGATCTCGTCATAGTAGAATGGAAATTCGCCGGGGAGGGAACAATTCAAGCGAGCCTTGCTGAAAGTGGTCCACACGTCTTTCAGCATAATTTGTCCACCTCGATCGTTCTTACAGACCCTCGCTATCCTCGAATATATTTTCTGCAGGCATGACACCGTAATGTACGATATTAAACTTTGACGAGTACAGGTCTTATTACTATAAAAGGCAATGCACTTTTATCGCACTTTTATATTTGTTCGAAACGTAACAAAAATTCGAAAAATGAATAAAGAATATCTTGTAACGATGCTTCAAATATCTCGTTGACTTTTCATGCTCGCGAGGCGGCGCCGAGCGAATTAAATCTACCACGTTGAAGCAAAGTTCAGCCTCGATCGTGATCGAGCGTACGATCGCGCGCAGCCGGATGCAGAGTGTTTCATTAGAGCCATCCATAGGCGGCAATTTGAGCGGCCGATAGGTTGAGAAAATGATAAACATCGCGCGAACTAAGATCATGTCGGGGATGATAATTTTTCTGCCGCGTGAGAGAGGAAGATCCGCGACGCGCGTCGCTCGTTTCGACCAACACCGTAAACGGCTAATTATACGGCTGACGCAAGTCAAGAAGAGGACGAGATCGCTAATCGCGCGAATGGCTCCTCGCGTGTTCCGCGCTGTATGATGGAAGACGCGCGCGCGCGCGTCCGCGTCACGGTGGATTACTCCACGGCATCGATCTTACCTTGCCGCAGTTGATGTATTCCACGGCGGATTCGCGAAATAGAAAGTACACGTGATCCTCCGTCTCGAAGCTGCCGACGAACTGCGGGTCGTTCAGCCACCTAAAAGGAAAGCGCAAACTTGGAGAGAACGGGACTCCGACGTGATAAATATCGCGGGGCGATAAGCAAGACCAACAATCTTGCAACGCGGCGGTTATTACGATAAAATTAATCTCGTTTGTTTTTTTAGTATAACTGTAAAAAGAATTTCACGGAAAGAGAGGTAAAATGAGCTGTAAAGTTAGCGATGCTCTTCAAGACCTCCGATCAGTTGGACTTGAAAGCAACTCGTGCTCTCTTTTTCTGCCCGCGCTTACGTACTTGGAATCGTATTGTCGTGTCCTGAGATTTGGAGTTGCCAGCGTTCTGTAGATCGCAGGATCGGCTCCAGAGAAGTCCGTCGGTGCGCCGGCGAAGAGCCCGCCGGATTGACCTCTCGAGAGAAGTGCCGTGACGTTCGCATGCGGCGAGTACGGGCACATGGCCACGCCCGACATCTCGCTGGTCACGCTCGTTATATTCTCGATCTGCGGTCATAATTGCTACTGTGTAGAGATTACCATCGTGCCCGCGAGCGGCCGCGACCTCGTCGCCGTTCCTAATCGGGCGTTACACGGCTAATGACAAGGATAATCTGCTCATCGACGTGTCGGATCGACAAGCCGTGATGACTAACGACCATGGGGAGGGGAAGGGGTGAGGAGGGAAAAGCATTAGGCACCCGAAATTATGGACGGGATCCCGCTCGCCTGAACCCGATCGGACAGACTGCTTTACTTTTGGAGAACGTACCTCTCGCCACGCGCACCACGGGCTGAATGCGTAAGTGCCGCAGGTGAAGAGGCTCTTGCCGTTGCTGAGGAGCACCTTGACGTAATTATGACAATCCTCGACGCTCTGGCCCTTATTCTGACAGGTGTTGACCTTGTCCTCCGGCGCGGACCAGGAGGCGTGCTCCAGGTCCGTCAGCGACGTCAGCGTCAAGCGGTACAAATTATCCCTGAAAAGACACGCTTTATTTACATTTTCGTCGGCGCGCTCTTCACATGTCATTAAGCGTCATGAAGGCCGGACGCTATTAACCCATTAAAGCCCACTGGCTGTCTCTGCCCGTCGCTTCTGCGACATTGTTTGCCGGCAATAGCTTCCGAAGCAAACACTCTTCGCAGCATTCTACGATCGATGAAATAAATTAATTACCGGATCTCTTCGCGGAAAAATCGGAAGTTCCTCGAACACGTGAATTTCGGGGAAAAAAAATGATGGGCTTTACTGGATTAACGAGTAGACTTTCATGACCTGAAGAATTAACGTTCGCACAACCTTAGACTGGATTTCATTAAACAGTTACTGGAACGTCTCATTGAAAGTCTCGTAGCAACCGGTAATCGGGAATGCCGCTGGCGATATATAACGTATCTCAATTTTAAATCGAGAAAGAATAATCGTGACAGACGAGTGACAGTGACGGGCGACGAGTAACGACGATAGCTTCCTTTATACGACACATATCGCATTCAATGAGGTCGCCATAAGCCACTTAGAAGTACCTCGTCGAACGGTCTTGCCTGTCGTTTCTCTTCGAAATATGCACAGCACGATTGCCGATGCCGGTATTCATGAATTCCTCAACAACATGATTATGCTACTCTAATTATCTGCTAATAAACATGTGTTCTACATGTTTAAATGAATGTTTATAAGTTATAAGTACATCGCCTTTCATATTAATGCAATTAACTTGAGAAAATATTTTTCATGTTTAACGCCCCGTCATACATTTCAACATTGATCAAAGAATAGATTTATTATTGTCAGTGCAAACAGCTAGATTGAATGAAAGTCTTCGTAAAATGTATTAAAATGCTTCTCTTCACTGTACTCTTTGACATTCCAGTAGCGAGAGATAGAAAATTGCACATTAATAGATTTAATAACTTAAGGATTTAATAATCTAACGCTTCGTACGTGTGAACAGGCCTTGAAAGACTCTTTATAAATAAAAAAAACCGAGAGAACGAGAGAAAAATCGCCCGTGAGTCGAGTTATAACTGACGTGAGAACTGCGAGATTAATGATTTATGAGCGGACGGTCGAGGTCTGAGGACGTCCTACGGCGAGCCGATCGGAAAGCTGACGGTTTCCCGTGAAACAAACGCGCGCGGCTACCTTCCGAGGAATGCGACCGCTTGCGAAAGGTGACGTGACGAGGTGCCCGGGTATCTCGAGATAAAAAAAAAAAGAACCCTCGAGAGGAGCGTCACTCGCCGTGCGTTTCATTCCGCGGAGCGTTACGGCGGCGCGTCTCTCGCGGCCGATCTCATGAGGCGCTCGCATGAGGCGCTCGCATGAGGCACTCATGGCAGTCACGAAGGCGTACTCGGGTTTGACAGCGGCTTCGAGGAGCCCTCGAAAACTCCTCGGACGACATTCCACGGCAGCCCACTTGACTTCAATGCGACGTGTACTCACGCATACGCGTATACGCGAGTGCGTACGGCCGCGGCCGGCGCGGCGCTTCGCTACCGAGTATATACGCGGGAGAGATCGAGAGATCGAGCGATCGCTCGGTGCAGGCGTTCTCCACCAACGTAATCGGTAGAATGGACATTCCTTATGTACTATCAGGGATTTTCGATCTAATCGAGAAATTCGGGTAAGATACATTCGGTGAGAATATATGAAATTTTCCTTTGCTCGCAGAGCGAATCCATACGTTATTATTATTCAATAAAATGTATTTAGAAAGTTTAATTTACGCAAAAAATTTTTAAAGCTTAGATTTTGTCTTGAAACGTTATTAAACTTCATCACAGTACAATTAAACTTCATCAGCGTTATAACGCAATTGGTATACGACGATAGATTTGTACGCTGCTTTTTATTAACTACACGAGAGACGCGAAAGCGGAAGTAAAACTCGCGTTACGCAAACGAACGGCATTAGCAAACCTGGTGCGAGAAAACCGCCGGAAGATAGCGATCAACAGTCGCCTCGAGAAGCTCGATAAATAAATTATCATCGACTTATAAATAACGCGCGGAGATATGGTCCGCGCGCGATCGTCCTCCTGTCTCTTCTCGGCAAAGAGAACGACTACTACGACGACGACGACGACGACGACGACGACGACGACGACGACGACGACCACGACGACCACGACGATCGAACAGGAAGTACAAACGGCGGTCGAGGCGGCCGCAGATAACCAATGGATAACTCGACACTCGCCTATGTCCCTTTAAGTAGCGACGCAGGCGGTTGCGCGCCTCTTTTTCTCCGCTCCGGTGACGATCGCGATGTATGTAAATGAGAGCAGCGCGATATCGTGACGGCGATTCCGCTGCTCCGTAACGAAAAAAAAAAAGATAGATTTTCAAGGTGAGAACTATCGCCGCGTGCGGGCTAGATATCAAAAATTGATTTCAATCATAAGATGTTAAAATTGAGGATTTGTGCAGAATTTTAATAAAAAGGATATGAGAATTTCAAAACACATCGCATATGTGCACAAAATTATTCTGTCAACTATCTGCAACGATTATAACAGATTTTAATTAAAAGCTGAGGATTAATTTCGATTAAAAGACGAGTTTTCCTTCTAAAAATTCACTCGTTTAACTTTCAACAATCTTCCCGCTTTCTAATGTCACGAGCAAGACGAAGAAGTGCCCGTTCTTCAAGGGACACCGCTTTCGCACGCGTACACTCGCATATACGGATACAAATGCCCGTGCATCTCTTCATTAGACTGCTCGATAATTGCGCGCTCCACGCTCTGCACAGACCTTTTGTCAAATCGATAAACTCAATTTATTCATGATTGCCGTACCGCAACTTGCAATCCGCTGCGCTATACCCGGCACACATGCATAAACGCCGTCCATGCTGCATTCTGCTCGATGCTCCGGGGGACTGCGGTCCCGCGGCATTCATTGGACTTCTCTATCAATCCTATTCAAGCCGCTGGGTTAATAGTCTCGATCTGCCGCACTGCGCCTGCAGTACGGAGTTGTCCCGCACTTCCTTTCACCAAGAAGTTCTTCGAATTTGATTTAACTCTAACCACCTTGGCACCCAACTTTGAATGTTATATATACATTCATATTATATTACATTTAAATATTATACATAGAATATTTAAAGTCAAGATATTATCTTGGTAAAACTTTAATTAACGACAAGTAAAAGTTATATCTTGTAATTTAATTCCTGAAAGCTCGTAACCTTCGATCGTCAAACTTCCCGAAATTATCGACAGCTCGACATTTTAATTAACGATATGGCTCTATTTTCGCTCGAGAAAAGCACAGAAAACCTTGTGATGTCCTGCATACCTATCCATATTCCGCGGCGCGAAACCCTTTCCTTCCTTGCACCGGCTGTTCGAGAACGACGGCAGCGGCGGCTGCAGCGACGGAACTCGCAACGAAGCATAAACGGCGCCTACGTGGGCGCCCGCGTCTCGGCACCGCGTGATAGTTCGAGCAGGTAATTATTATTTAAGTGGGATACACGAGCGCGGGCAGGGCGCTGGTCGTGAATGCCAATTAATATAAGCCGGCACGGCACGTATCCCGCCGGATCGCCGGTCTATTTGTATCGGCAACCTACGTGCGGCAACGGTAAGACCCAATCGCGTATGCATGGACCAGGGCGCTCGATATACCCACCGAAGGGATATCGCTATTTCTCGTACGTCTCGGGCGAGACACGACACCACAAGGCCGTCGCGTCGGGCGCGACACGAGTGAATTATGCCACGTGGGGAAAAGAAGCCGGAGTGTTTGCAAGTCAAACGGGGCGGGAGATAGGAGACGCGGATAAAAACAAAGTCACGCCTGCGAAACCGCCGATCTTTTCAATCGGAGGAGAATTTTCGGAGTTGGAACGGAGGAATGTTAATCGTAAGCATGATTGATCTTCCCGCTGAAGATACGACGTTGACCACTGCGTCATCCTTTCACACTATTCGCATACGATTTAGAATAATCCTCTCTCCCCCCCTCCCCTCCTTTCCTCCTTTCTAAGAATAGAATTCTTTCAATGGAATTCCTCGAGCGCTTATAAACCGCCGCACGGCCTCTCCTCCAGATTTCGATCGGGAATGCGGTAGATCGCGATCGATTTTCGTATCTCGCTGCCGGTATCAACGTGTGCAAGACTCGCGCGAGACCCAATTTTACGGTAACGGCGCGGCTGGATATCGCGCCGGAGTTTTACGGGCGTCAATCAACGTCTTTCATATTTTCTTGTTAGAACACGGGTCCCGCGTGCGAGGTAGGCGGGCAGTAAAGCGAACCCGATGTTACTGTCGTCGCATGACACGTTGAAACACCTCGATTCGCGGGAACGTAACGAGATACGAGAGCCGGTATTGTCATACGCGTCGTTTATTCTCAGAATGGCGCACCTCGAGCTTTTGCAATATAAATGCATTTAAATGCAACGCAGGTTTAAGCGGCCCTCGTGTATCTACCTCGACAAGATTCGCAAAGTTTGATTTACACCGCTCGCGCAAAATAAACTCGCGCGCATCAGTCGTGCGAAGCAAGTCACGTTATCTTCGTCAAAAGAGAAACGACGAAACTAAAAAGGAAAAAATAATAACGTGAAGTAGAATTTTCTCCATAATTGTATATCCTTTTCCGTGACAAAACAAAACTTTCTATTTAGAGACAAAAAAATATAAAACTTATACTTATTACACCGCGACACAGTTGTGCGAAATTTTAGTTGACAATCCTAAGATTATTTTTAATGCAAACAATATGAATTCGATTCGCATTTAAACGGTGCATCATTTTAATGCACTCGATCTGCCCGATTCGAAAAAGCACGTTTCGCCGTTGGGCCAATCCCACGGATAAGTGAGTCGTGAGCCGTAAGTAGGCTCCGTACGATGTATACGTTGTTTATTGGCCGAATGGCCACATTGAAACAGATTACTTCCTGCTCAGTGGACAAATACCTCTTTGGCCCCCTCCCTCTCACGTCGT